TCTGGCGCTCCAGAGAAATAATTTATGTTGGTGAAAAGTCATATAAATGGAAAACTCCAGGGTTTTTTAGCTAGATTCTAGCGCTCCAGAGAAATAATTTATGTTGGTGAAAAGTCATATAAATGGAAAACTCCAGGGTTTTTTAGCTAGATTCTAGCGCTCCAGAGAAATCATTTATGTAATGGAGGTGAAAAGTTCTAGAAATGGACAATTCGAGCGTTGTTTTGGACAAAAGGACCAATTTTTTATTATAGTGTATAAAAATTTAGCAGCGATGTATTTGTTGCGGAAAATAAACGACATTAGGAATATTTCGGAGTATAGAAAGCAAGGGTATTGTAAAATAACTCACACGCGCGCAGGGGCAGAAGTATTTTTCTAGCGTAAAACCCGTATAATATGAAACTTATTGACTTAGATATTGCCAACTAATGGTTAATAAATTTACATAAGTTTGTGTTTAAGTCTAAGAAAACTTTCTCCACCATACATTATCTGAGGTGCTGATTTTATTACCACAATTTTTCTTATACGTTCTTTAAACCCATCCTAGTTATAAAATACTGTTTTTATAATTAATTTTTGTCAAACCTATCCTAGAAATTACTAAACGTTTTTTAATTAATTTTTGTCAAACCTATCCTAGTAATTACTTAATGTTTTTTTAATTATTTTTTGTCAAACCTATCCTAGTAATTACTTAACGTTTTTTAATTATTTTTTCTCAAACCTATTCTAGTAATTACCTAACGTTTTTTTAAATTATTTTTGTCAAACCTATCCTAGTAATTACTTAACGTTTTTTAATTATTTTTTCTCAAACCTATTCTAGTAATTACCTAACGTTTTTTTAAATTAATTTTTGTCAAACCTATCCTAGTAATTACTTAACTTTTTTTAATTAATTTTGTCAAACCTATCCTAGTAATTACTTAACGTTTTTTTTAATAATTTTTGTCAAACCTATCCTAGTAATTACTTCACGTTTTTTAATTAATTTTTGTAAACCTATCCTAGTAATTACTTAACGTTTTTTAATTAATTTTTGACGTTTCAATGGTCCCCCAGATGGGGGTGGAGGCAGCGGGGGGCGTGGAGCCCCAGCACCTGACGGCAGCGCTGCAGCAGAGCGCCGACCGCCTCACACCCACGGGGCTACCGCAGGACCAGCGCGTCGTCATGAAGGTAGCGCCGCGGTGTGCAAAATATTAAATGAAGAGTTAACTAAAGCTAGTCATTACGAGTCATTGAATAATTATAAAAGAGTGCAAATATTAAGTGAAGGGTTAAATAAAACTGATCATTACGAGTCATTGATTAGATATGAAAGATATTTGTTAACGTGCAAATATTAACTGAAGGGTATACTAAAACTCATCATTACGAGTCATTGGTTAATTATAAAAGAGTGCAAATATTAAGTGATAAGTTAACTAAAACTAATCATTACGAATCTTTGGTTAATTATAAAAGAGTACAAATATTAAGTGATAGGTAAACTAAAACTAATCATTACGAGTCATTGGTTAATTATAAAAGAGTGCAAATATTAAGTGATAAGTAAACTAAAACTAGTCATTACGAGTCATTGATTAGATATAAAAGATATTTGTTAACGCGCAAATATTAAGTGAAGGGTTAACTAAAACTAATCATTACGAGTCATTGGTTAATTAGAAAAGAGTGCAAATATTAAGTGATAAGTTAAATAAAACTAATCATTACGAGTCATTGATTAGATATGAAAGATATTTGTTAACGCGCAAATATTAAGTGAAGGGTTAACTAAAACTAATCATTACGAGTCATTGATTAGATATGAAAGATATTTGTTAACGCTCATATTTTGTTTAACACGGCGGCGTGCAAATATTAACTGAATAGTTAACTAAAACTAGTTAATCATCACGAGTCTTTGTATTAAGTGATACGTAAAATAAAANAGGACGTGGCTTTTGAAGACAGGACGGGGCTTTTGAAGACAGGACGTGGTTTTTGGAGACAGAACGTGGCTTTTGAAGACAGGACGTGGTTTTTGGAGACAGTACGTGGTTTTGAAGTCAGGACGTGGTTTTTGAAGTCAAGACGTGGCTTTTGAAGACAGAACGAGGCTTTTGAAGTCAGGACGTGGTTTTTGAAGTCAGGACGTGGTTTTTGAAGTCAGGACGTGTTTTTTTAAGTCAGGACGTGGCTTTTGAAGTCAGGACGTGGCTTTTGAAGCCAGGACGTGGTTTTTGAAGTCAGGACGTGGTTTTTGAAGTCAGGACGTGGTTTTGGAAGTCAGGACGGGGTTTTTGAAGTCCGGACGTGGCTTTTGAAGTCAGGACGTGGTTTTTGAAGTCAGGACGTGGCTTTTGAAGTCAGGACGTGGTTTTTGTAGACAGAACGTGGCTTTTGAAGACAGGACGTGGTTTTTGGAGACAGTACGTGGCTTTTGAAGTCAGGACGTGGTTTTTGAAGTCAGGACGTGGCTTTTGAAGTCAGGACGTGGCTTTTAAAGTCAGGACGTGGTTTTTGAAGTCCGGACGTGGTTTTTGAAGTCAGGACGTGGCTTTTAAAGTCAGGACGTGGTTTTGGAAGTCAGGACGGGGTTTTTGAAGTCCGGACGTGGCTTTTAAAGTCAGGACGTGGTTTTTGAAGTCAGGACGTGGCTTTTGAAGTCAGGACGTGGCTTTTAAAGTCAGGACGTGGTTTTTGAAATCAGGACGTGGCCTTTGAAAACAGGACGTGGCTTTTGAAGACAGGACGTGGCTTTTCGAGTCAGGACATGGCAGGGAGTGACTTTTAGATCTGTGAATATTTGCATGAAAAAAGACAGATTTGTCAGCTACTTCACAAGTGAGGGTGGTTGACGCGGCGCTCTTGAAGAATTCGATCGTCGCCCAGGTATACTTGCCCAATCTGCTAAGCATGGTAGCTCGATTTCAGATCCAACCCGTGATCTATCATCGTAGCTTCAGTTCATCTCCCCAATTTAAAGCTACTCCTCCTTAGTTATAACCTGCTTAAAAATTCCTAAAAATTCCTGAAAGGGCGACCATTTTCAATTAGTACATGTGATATACAGTATGAACCTTTGATTGGGCGGGACATCGCTTATTTTTAGAAATGTTCGAATTATTTTTATGTTGCTTTCAGTCCATCTGTGAATTAATAATGTTCTTTTCTGACAAATTTTATTTGCAGGTCCCTTCCGAGAAATCTAGATAACATTTTAATGACGGAATAATTTTGCAAACTCTTATGCATTAGTGTGTTTATTAAAAGTATTTATTGCTTGTAATTTGTCAAATGTAAGCTCTATCATAATAAAGCGAATTAAAAGTCAGTAACAATTCGTCTACGCCAGGTACTACGGAGCGGTTCCCTCTGCTACGCAGAAGCCACAGCCTCTACACAGACGGTGAGTATTATTTTAGATTCAAATAAAACTGCAATTACTATATCCTTGGTGCTTCCAATTGTATTATATTTCAAGAAATAAAAATTATTATTTGTTATCCCAGCTATAAAGTAATTAAATATCATTTGCAGTGGTTATTTCTCCAATTAATTTTTTGGGTTCAGTGTTAGTAATTGTTCAATTTATTCGTGATCTTGGTCCTCAAGGATTCGCTTCTTGGGAAGACACGTGCCGAAACATTTTATATGAGGCGTGTATTTTAATTAAGTAAAAAAACATAAATAATTTACCCACTTAAAATTTCATATTTTACTCGACGTTTCTGCATTATTCCATTAAAATTTAGTCATTTAATATATCTTGGGACCAAAGTTTGTATGCCATCTTCAACGAAGCTTCCCGTCCTAATTAAATAACCTGATAAGACAATTTCTNTGCGTCACCCGTCCAGCAGATGTCTGCGTCTTGTTGATACAGCGGCACCCACAGAACAGGTGCGTCACTCGTCCAGCAGATGGTCTCGTCTTGTTGATACATCGGCACCCACAGAACAGGTACGTCACCCGTCCAGCAGGTGGTCTCGTCTTGTTGATACAGCGGCACCCACAGAACAGGTGCGTCACTCGTCCAGCAGATGTCTTCGTCTTGTTGATACAGCGGCACCCACAGAACAGGTACGTTGCCTACTTCAGAGGCGTCCTCCACATTGCATTGCCGATCCTGTTCATGAGCCGAAAAAATGAGACGAGGCTTGTGGAGCTGTTGGTTGTGGGCAGACTTGCGTTATTAGCGTCGTGCTTACGTCCTGGGCCCATACTTTCAAAAAAAGTTAAGAGATCGTAAGTCCATCAGCCAATCATTGACGGCCTTTCGAGCAAAATCCACCAATCATAGACAAGAAAATAGAGCGTAAGTACTTACGTTCACTTAGCGAGTTTTGAAAGTGTGGCCCCAGCTGCCCAGCTACAACGACCACTTTAGCAGTGCATTGTTTGAAGAAGATGAAGGCAATCACTCAACTAGTGACTCACTTATTCAGTGAATGACATTCATTCGAGGACAGTTTAAGCAGTGATGTATGGCTTATCTAAGTGGGTAGTGAAGCGATTTCATGCATCAATGGTTGGGGACTTACGGTTAATAAGAAATGAAAGGCTATGTGAAGTAACGCAGTTAAGCTCGTAAACACAATAAATTCAGTTGTCAGCCTCTCATTATCCACATCTATGCGCACACTTTACGTGTGATGGATGAATTGTTTACTGTTCGTGTTATGGTTATTGTAGACCAAAACAAATCATTTTGTTTGGTCTATCTACACTTTCANAAGTTCATCAGCCAATCATTGACGGCCTTTCAAGCCATACTTTCAAAAAAAGTTAAGAGATCGTAAGTTCATCAGCCAATCATTGACGGCCTTTCAAGCCATACTTTCAAAAAAAGTTAAGAGATCGTAAGTTCATCAGCCAATCATTGACGGCCTTTCAAGCAAAATCCACCAATCATAGACAAGAAAATTGAGCGTAAGTACTTACGTTCACTTAACGGATTTTGAAAGTATGGCCCCTGGACTCTAATAAACTGCTGCGAATATAGATTTAAGTGGGAATATAAATAAGGTAAGTTAATGATTTTAGTTCGCAAAGATTAGTTTTATTGAGTATACATTATTATATTACTATAATAAAAATTTATAACTTCATCTGTAAAATAATTAAATCAATTTGTTACGAGCATCTCCCTAATTCACTAGTCGTCAATTGATCGGCTGTGACTGAGTCAGTTATATGCACAGAAAAATGTGGCACAAAAAAGGAATTATATTCGTTCAAATAATTGATGTTTGCGCCACTATATTATCAGTATTGAGAGCTTTAATGTCCCTGATAATTAGCGGCATGCAGTTTAGCGGCCGTTAGCATCACCGGCATTCACCGCCAGTTAAGTGACATTTTTTATACGACTTCGGTCGACGGTCTCTCAGTCGCTCTTTAAACGTTACGTCGATGGTCGATACCAGCCGGCAGGGATGCTGCTGGGGAGCCTTAGCAACTCTGACCATGGACATAACATAACATAACATAACATAACATAACATAGTGATGTCGGCGCTGAAGTGTAGGCCTGATGTGGCTTCTCGCCGATTCTTTTCCTTTTCGTGCCTTGTTCACAAAAGATCTAAAATCGTGTCATTTGCCCGATCTTTTCATGACTGACGATAGTTTGAAGTAGCTACTAGACTTCCACCAGGTTCGATATGATGCTAGGCATTTCAAATCTGAACATATATTTTTCCATAGCTTTATCTAGTCTGTTCTTGAACCCGTTCATACTTGGAGCGCCAACGAAGTCATAGGGGAGCACATGTCAGAGCACAACTCAGTGTTGTCGGTGTGTAAATATCATAGGCGTCGAATTTCGTGGACATCAAAATTTCTGTGGGTGGTGCCCGAAATGAACTCCGGATACGTGTATATGAAACTGTTATACAGAAAACTGCATGTTCCTCATTAATGTTGAATTGCTGATACACCGGCAACTGTTGCCACTGTAGATGCCCGGCTGATGCCCGGCAACTGTAGACGCCATTGTAGACTGTTGCCACTGATATCACTCGTCTTTATACTTCCTTCGCAGTTTTGGTTCTTCAAACTGACATTTTTCAAAATTTTATTAAATTATAATTATATAATTTGTCTTTCAGCTTTTACTAGCATTTATCTTTAAAGTAAAATCCTGTTCTTTAAGAACCTTCGATATTGGTCACTTTCAGATGTGTTCGTCGTGAAGAAACTTGTTGGTGCTTCACTGTTACTACGAAATTTGTCAACATGTTTCTATCTTTGCTCCTGTTTTCGTGATATTGAGATACTGTGCGTGATTATTCCGTAACGAGCAGTGAATTAGTACGTGCTTTGCGCTATGTTTACCCTATGCCATAACTTCCCATACGTATTTTTTCCATACGTGGGCTATAATGGCAACTGCTGCTCCACCGGCACACGGTGCGAGATATCAAAGCAAAATGGACAGATTTTCAAAAATATTTACCTCTTCGTACGCCCTCCGCCTATCTTCATCGTCCAACGAAATTACTCGCTCATTAGATGAATTAAAATCACGCGAAAATTAATCAAACGCATGTAATTAAACACACATACCTCGGAACTCTGCGTGAAAATTTAAGGACTTTTTTCCCGTCGGAAGGTCCTGACGACATTGGAACACATGCCTCGCAACTCTGCGTGAAAATTTAAGGATTTTTTTTTTCGTCGGAAGGTCCTGACGACATTTTGTTGCCACTGATATCACTCGTCTTTATACTTCCTTCGCAGTTTTTGGTTCTTTAAACTGACATTTATCAAAATTTTATTAAATTTTAATTATATAATTTGTCTTTCGGCTTTTAGCAGCATTTATCTTTATAGTAACACCCTGTTCTTTAAGAACCTTTGATATTCGTCGCTTTCAGATGTGTTCGTCGTGAAGAAACTTGTTGGTGCTTCACTGTTGCTGCAAAATTTGTCATCTTCCTTAATTCTGTTAAGGAAAAAAATATCAAAAAATTGTGCGTGATCATTCCGTAACGAGCAGTTAATTTGTACGTGCCTTGCACTACAAATGTTTTTTATACCCTATGTCATAACTTCGCTTACGTATTTTTTCCATCCATGGACTATAATGGTAACGGTTCACCGGCAAACGGTACGAGATATCACAGCAAAATGGCCAGATTTTCATCAATATTTACGTCCTCGTACGCCCTCCGTCTATCTTCATCGTCCAACAAAATTATTCACTAATAAAACGAATTAAACCCACATGAAAATTATTTAAACGCATGTAATTGCACACACATACCTCGGAACTTTGCGTGAAAACTCGTAACAACACCACCACATAACCTCGACCCTACAGCTCTGGAGCGACCCCCTGTCGGTGGTGTACTTGCGCGAAGGGGTCTCTTGTAAAAATGAGACCGGGGAACCACAACAACAACAACAACAACGTGAAAACTGAAGGACTTTTTTTCCGTCGGAAGGTCCTGACGACATTGGAACACATGCCTCGGAACTCTGGGTGAAAATTTAAGGACTTTTTTTCCGTCGGAAGGTCCTGACGACGTTTGAACGCATGCATCGGAACCGTATTTGGCACCGTATTTGGCGTAAAAACTGAAGGATTTTTTCCGTCGGAAGGTCCTGACGACGTTGGACCTGACGTCGCTGGGTGTTGGGTCGTGCGTGGGGACGGGTATGTACCTGGTCGCCGGCATGGTCGCCAATACCATCGCTGGTCCCAGTGTCATCCTGTCCTTCATCATCGCCGCCATCGCTTCCATTTTCTCAGGTCCACAATACGAAATAAATATATTATGAAAAATCTTTAATTTAATTTATTTGATTATTTAAATGGAATTTAATTATTTCAATTTATTTTATTTATTCAGTTTAATTAAATTTAATTTATTAACATTTACTTAATTATTCAAAATCTTGCCAGAACAAACTCTGAAAAATCTTGCATTCTTTTAAATAAATCTCGATTTCTTTCATCGACATATACTTAAGCAGCGTTTTATTACACAGGCGTGTGCTACGCAGAGTTTGGTGTACGTGTGCCTAACACGTCTGGGGGAGCGTACATGTACAGCTACGTAACGGTGGGAGAGTTCATGGCGTTTGTGATTGGGTGGAACATGATCCTGGAGGAACTTATCGGTACAGCGGCCTGCGCCTGCGCCCTCAGTGCCTGTTGTAACGTCATGTTGGGGGGTGGCATCAATGATGCCATGCAGAGCATCTTTGGCACCGTATTCGGTGAGTGAACTGAACGATGCTTGGCCACTTTTCAGGCGAGTGATGTCTTACTGGGCATCTTTGGCACCGTATTTGGTGAGTGAACTGAACGATGCTAAGCTACTTCTCAGGTGTGTGAACTCTTTTAAAATTAAATATAATGATTTAAGCACGAGTGATGTTCGATTTTTGTACGACGACGAATTTATTTTTATTTCAAGACCTTGTGCCTAACACTCCAGCGTTAACAATTCCATCAATGGATTACCTCCATTAACGTTGCGAAATATTAGGCTATTCATGAAAGGCGCGTTTTTTTACATCACCAATACAAACACATTTTACATCAGCAATATGAACCCATTTTACATTATCAATACAAACGCATTTTGCATCATCAATATGAACACATTTTACATTATCAATACAAACACATTTTGCATCACCAATATGAACACATTTTACATTATCAATACAAACACATTTTGCATCAGCAATATACACACATTTCGCATTATCAATATCATTTCACATTATCAATTTCACATTACATTTTGCATCAGCAAAAAGAACCCATTTTACATTATCTATACAAACACACTGTGTTAATTTTCAGGTCGCCCACCCGACGTTCTAGCGTTCCTCCTGACGCTGTTCATGGGCGCCGTTCTGATAGCGGGCGTCCGCAAGAGCGTCGCGTTCAACAACGTGCTGAACAGCGTCAACTTCTGCGTCTGGGTCTTCATGATGAGTGCAGGCCTCTTCTATGCTGACACCAGCAACTGGACCGAGCATGGCGGCTTCATGCCACATGGCGTCTCCGGAGTACGATATTTAATGCTTTAACTTGTCCAGGAAAACTAGCTCTAGATAATAAAGGTTTATAATAGAAGCCTACAAATAATTTTAACCCTATTAATAGAAGCACACAGCGTTGGATAATGAAGGTTTATAATAGAAGCCTTATAACTCTACAAATAATTTTCACCCTATTAATGGAAACAGACATTGCATTTTTGACCAATTCTCGGCCCGGCCCGTAAGTTGTGAATCAATAAATAACGTTAACATTATGCAAGTCTATAACCAGCCACCTGCGTGTTGATGGCAGCCCTGAGTGTAACGCAGTGTAACACCTACACCGCAGGTTCTAACAGGCGCAGCGACCTGTTTCTACGGGTTCATCGGCTTCGACATCATCGCGACAACGGGGGAAGAAGCCATCAACCCCGTGAAGAGCATCCCTAGAGCCATCGTCATGTCCCTCTTCATCATCCTAATGGCCTATGTTTCATCATCAGCACTCATCACACTCATGGGTGAGGCACTGAGGGTACACACACTCTACACACATGAGACGCACTAGACATTTGCTCTCTTCATTTCATGGCTAGCTCCTTCCGCATTCTTGATAAGGACACAACTCTCGGTCATAAACGATGCTGCTGATGTTATAGACTCAAAGCAAGAAGCAAATTAACAAAACAACATCAAATAAATTACAATAAACAATAACATGTTTAATATCTCATCAAAAATATGCATACCAAGTGTGGAAATTTCATGTCCAATTTTAAGAGGTCTCTGTTATAACCTGAGACACCAATTCTCATTTCGTTGCTGTCATAGGAATAGAGATCGTGATCAAACAACGATATAGTCAATATATTTTTTAATTCTCTTGATCTGATATCACTGTTCCCCAGTAAGTGAAAAAGTCTTTAATCAAATTGTTATCAAGGTGCAGGCCCACAATGTGTTCATACGGCCATCGTTTGGCCCTTAGAGTGCATTTGTACTGTAGAGTGCATTTGTACTGTAGAGTGCATTTGCATTTGTAATTTGTTCGTACGCATGCCAAGCGCTCTAAATAAATATATTTAAATAAATATAAATAATGCGCTCTATACATTTTCGCGCCGCAGTGCCGTACTCGAGGGTGGACCCTGACGCGGCGCTCGTGGACGCGTTCGACGCCGTAGGTGCAACGGGCTGCAAGAACGTGGCGGTGGTTGGGGCGCTCGCCGGCCTCACTGTGTCCATGTTCGGCACCATGTTCTCTCTGCCCAGGATCGTCTACGCTATGGCCAAGGATGGTCTTATCTTCAAGTAAGCCTTGTTTCGTTACGATTAGTGATATAGATTTACTAATATAGCGCTCATTTTCAACCCTTTCCTAATTTATCCGATTCGAGCCCAAAAAATAGTATTCTAATGGAGAAGATTATGCTCTATGCGGAACTTGAAACGTAACAAGTTGACTTGTGATGATGTCCATTGGAACAGTCATTCACGGGACAAAAAAATTTTTGCGCTGTTAAGAGTTGGTGCGCTATCGCATAATACAGAAAAAATAGTCAATTTCACTTGCACTGCCGTATTTCTAGCATTTTTGAACTAAAGCTCCAACAACATTGTCACGCGAATGCTCTCGTGATCACAAACGAAACTCAGTACTCACTGCAGTGAGTGACAGAGAGCGCATTTTCTCGTCGACGAAAACGTGAAGTCACGGACGGACAGACGGACATGGCGAGCGCAATAGTGCATTTTTCCAATGCATTTTCCCGAGAGCAATAGTGCATTCATTTAATGTATGTTATGCTAATTGAAGTTAAATAAAACTTTTCCCTGAAATGCACTTCCTCTAGGTCACTCTCGAGCGTGTGGCCGGTGACCGGCACCCCGGCTGTAGCTACGGCCGTCTTCGGCGCCGGCAGCGCAGTGGCCGCGTTGCTCTTCCCTCTAACACTATTAGTGGAGATGATGTCCATAGGTGGGTGTCTGCTGGGCTTGAATTAATGTCCGTTATGATCTTTGATGAATGCGAGCTGTTGTTGTAATTGCCCATCCTGGTAGCGGCGAATAGGGCAAAGTTTTTCCGGGCACTCGGTACCACTGGTAGTTCTACGACCATCACTGGCTCGCTGACCCGCCAGAACCATTTTTGCATTATGCGCTCAACTGTGAGTGAGCGCTTATTTATATGATTCTCAAGGGAAAAAGAGTGCTTGTATTGTTGCTGCTCATTGCTGGGTGTTTGTGCGATCATGTCCTGCTTTTCTTGGAAAATATACGAACATTTAACCAAAGACTGGTATCCTTTCTGAATAAATTCGTTGGGCTTTTTGGTGAAGAGAGTGGATCAATGTTGTGAACATAATTTATAGTAACGATTAACAAAATTTTCTGCTAACTGTAACCACAAGATTTCAATTTTTCAACTTGAATTCGCTGCACACTTGCCACCTTGTGAACTAGATTTTCATTTATACACGTGAAGAAAAAGGTAATCGAGCAGCTTTAACGTAAATTTAACAATCAAATCACGAGTTTCATTTTCTGGCATTATTATAGACTAGCTTGTACGCAGGTACACTGCTGGCTTACACGCTGGTCTCGACATGTGTGTTGATATTGAGATACCAGCCCCACTCCAGTACGCTGGTAGAGCTGCTACCAGAGAGCATCAGGACACCTATGGCCGGAACCCCGGTGGTGGGTAGCTCAAGTGTGAGTGCGGGCTTATTTAAATGATTCTCAAGGAAAAGGGGGTGCTTGTCTTGTTGGTGCTCATTGCTGGGTGTTTGTGCGACCATGTCCTGCTTTTCTTGGAAAATATACGAACATTTAACCAAAGACTGGTATCCTTTCTGAATAAATTCGTTGGGCTTTTTGGTGAAGAGAGTGGATCAATGTTGTGAACATAATTTATAGTAACGATTAACAAAATTTTCTGCTAACTGTAACCACAAGATTTCAATTTTTCAACTTGAATTCGCTGCACACTTGCCACCTTGTGAACTAGATTTTCATTTATACACGTGAAGAAAAAGGTAATCGAGCAGCTTTAACGTAAATTTAACAATCAAATCACGAGTTTCATTTTCTGGCATTATTATAGACTAGCTTGTACGCAGGTACACTGCTGGCTTACACGCTGGTCTCGACATGTGTGTTGATATTGAGATACCAGCCCCACTCCAGTACGCTGGTAGAGCTGCTACCAGAGAGCATCAGGACACCTATGGCCGGAACCCCGGTGGTGGGTTCACCTACAGGCGGTTCCCCTACACGTCGCAAGGTGCGTAAATATTGATATTATGATGTGAGGGTCTTGAATAATTACATTTTGAGGCACTGCTACAATCAAATGATTACATTCTGAGTCACTGTTGCAATCGGGGCGATGAAAAAGGGGTTTTGAGAGTGTGATGTTTAGAATTTTGAGGACATAAACATTCGGTCATCTGTTATTCATAATGCGGTTAAATGGATGAGTGCTGAATATTAGGTAACGCAAATCAGGTGTGAGTACAATTCTCAATTATTCGAACTTATATGTGAGAAAATCTAAATTTTGTGTGAACCTACTTTAAATGATTAGCACTCAAATTATTGAAAAAAGCGCGTTGATAAAACATCCCTTTGATCTATTATAATAAAAATCTGGCAATTTGGTTCACACAACTCCACCAGCATAGATCTATTCGATAGTTTAAAAAAAATAACATTTGATGGCAGCAATAAAATATTTCTCAAACAATGGTTTCCACTAAATTAATTTGTTTCTTCTGTTCATTAGTGTTTTTTTCTTAATTTGCCGTTTGGTCAAACACACCACTTATTTTCGTGTTGAATTAATTTCAAATTTTGCTAAATTATTGAGAAGTATTGCTGTAAATTAGCGCTAGGACTACTAGCTAGTAGAGTGCCTTCTATAAAGAGCTGGCCAGGGCAGCAACAAATGACTCAAAAGATCAAGAACATTACTACAAACGACGTCCGTGCCACCACCTGGCGACTGTTGATATGGCGAGACTCGCTTGTTCTCTGAAGACTAGTGAATTACGCTTCTAGTAAATTGCGCTTTTGGCGCTCCAGAGAAATCACTTATGTAGGTGAAAAGTCATATAAATGGAAAACTCGAGGGTTTTTTTAGCCAGATTCTGGCGCTCCAGAGAAATAATTTATGTTGGTGAAAAGTCATATAAATGGAAAACTCCAGGGTTTTTTAGCTAGATTCTAGCGCTCCAGAGAAATTCTAGTAAATTACGCTTCTAGTAAATTACGCTTCTAGTAAATTACGCTTCTAGTAAATTACGCTTCTAGTAAATTACGCTTCTAGTAAGTTACGCTTCTAGTAAATTACGCTTCTAGGAAATTACGCTTCTAGTAAATTACGCTTCTAGTAAATTACGCTTCTAGTAAGTTACGCTTCTAGTAAATTACGCTTCTAGTAAATTGGTAAATTGCGCTTCTAGTAAATTACGCTTCTAGTAAATTACGCTTTTGGCGCTCCAGAGAAATCATTTATGCCGATGAAAAGTTCTAGAAATGGAAAATTACAGCGTTGTTTTGGCAAAAGGGCCAATTTTTTTATTGTAGTGAACAAAAATTTTGCAGCGATGCATTTGTTACAAAAAATAAACAACATTAGGAATATTTCGGAGTATAGAAAGCAGGAGTAATGTAAAATAACTCACACGCGCGCAAGGGCAGACGGGCGTAAAACCCGTAGAATAGAAAACTTATTGACTTATATATTACCAAATAACGGTTAGCAATTTTAAATAAATTTGAGTTAAAGACTAAGAAAACGATCCTCTACCATATATTACCTTATAGGTACTGTAATTAAAATATCGCAATTCATGTTATTGGTGCTTTAAACCTAGCCTAGTTATTACTTCGTGTTTGTTTATTTTTGACGTTATAATGGGCCCCCAGATGGGGGTGGAGGCAGCGGGGGGCGTGGAGCCCCAGCACCTGACGGCAGCGCTGCAGCAGAGCGCCGACCGCCTCACGCCCACGGGGCTGCCGCAGGACCAGCGAGTCGTCATGAAGGTAGCCGCGCAAAATATTAAGTGAAGGGTTAACTAAAACTAATCATTACGAGTCATTGATTAGATATGAAAGATATTTGTTAACGCTCATATTTTGTTTAACACGGCGGCGTGCAAATATTAACTGAATAGTTAACTAAAACTAGTTAATCATCACGAGTCTTTGTATTAAGTGATACGTAAAATAAAATTAATCATTACGAGTCTTTGATTAGATGTGAAAGATATTTGTTAACGCGCAAATATTAAGTGAAGGGATAACTAAAATAATCATTACGAGTCAAACTAGTTAATCATTACGAGTCTTTGAATAATTATAAAAGAGTGCAAATATTAAGTGAAGAGTTAACTAAAATTAATCATTACGAGTCTTTGGTTAATTATAAAAGAGTGCAAATATTAAGTGATAAGTTAAATAAAACTAATCATTACGAGTCATTGATTAGATATGAAAGATATTTGTTAAAGCGCAAATATTAAGTGAAGAGTTAAATAAAACTAATCATTACGAGTCTTTGTATTAAGTGATAGGTAAAATAAAACTAGTCATTAACTAATCATAATTATTACGTCATTGATTAGATATGAAAGATATGTGTTAACGCTCAAATTTTGTTTAACGCGGAGGCGTGCAAATATTAAGTGAAGAGTAAAACAAAACCAGTTTTTTTACTGCAAATTTTATTATTTTTCTGACTTTGTGTTCTAGATTTATGGAACTGACGATGGAGCTGGTCTCCGAAACGTTTTCAATAGAGATATGCTGAATTTTTGTGGTGTTTTGTTCGCTTTTGAATTTCTATTGAATCTGCGATTAAAGCAATCTAGTGACATTAAAACTAGTTAATCATCACTAGTCATTGATTAGATATGAACGATATTTGTTAACGCTCATATATTGTTTAACACGGTGGCGTGTAAATATTAAGTGAAGAGTAAAATAAAACTAATCTTCACGAGTAATTGATTAGATATCAAAGATATTTGTTAACGCTCATATTTTGTTAACGGAGTCTGCGGCAAGGAAAACGTTCGCCAGAGCAGATGTTTTAAGAATCGTCAGCTTAGCTTGATGAAAACTAAAATAAAGTTCAAAAAACGAAGGTGCAATGAGCTCAGATGTAATCTTGAGGATTATTAAAGATTTCAAACAAAAATTCGTTCTTAGAATCACATATTATTGCTTATCACAATTAATACAAAAATGTAGCTGTAAATGCGTCCATGTATAAGCTTAACAATGTTCAGGTGTGACCGCTTGTTTCATGCTTGTCTGAACGCAAGCTTTATCATTTATTTGATTCATATAAGTTTTGTTGCTGTACGTTCATAGTGTATGATAATATCTATGAATAACTTATATTTCATAATATTAGTTGATAAGAAATTTGCCATAATAATAATATAATAATAATAGCGGTTTCAGCGTTTATTAGGCCGTAGGCCTGTCGCCGATTCTTAACATCGCAGAACATTCACAGTATTTTGCGGTCTCAAACTCGCAACTCACTGCTACAATTCTGCTGTGCTTAACCGCCCGGCTTCCTTGCCGATTCTGACCAGAAACTGGCGCACAGAGCTGGGATCGAACCCGCGCCTCTCTGCGCCAATCTTGGTACTCTGAACTGTAACCACTGGGCTACCCTGACCAGTTCTGTCTAGTTCACCCTGCCCTGTCCCAGTTCATAGTGAATTTCGGGGGCATATTCGGCGAGAATTGTGTTCACGTTGAAGTAGTCCCCTAATGATAGTCACTCGTCACTTTGTAGAGGTTTGACACGCAGGTGTTCTCTGAACGAATCTGCCGCGAGGTCACGAGCGGGCTGAGCGGTTCTAGGCTGGATTTTTTGTTCGTTGGCTTCCGTGGATGAGGTGGGAGGGACCTTTTCTGATGTGGCGTCAGCTTCTGGGATCCGACCGTGTTCCTCTCGGACGGCTGTTCAAGGTTGTGAACCGTGAACGTGCACCGTTGGAAGGAGCTGACCGCCCCCAGTGTTTACCTGACGTGGGAGCCGACTTGACCAGTCTGCCCCTTGGTTTCCCGTGCGCTTTGCATAGCCAAGCCGCGTTGGGCGTCTACCGTCGTACCTTATTGGAGCGCCTAATGACGAGTTTAACTAGAGTCTTGAAGTTCCTCGTGGAGGCGTGACCCCCCTAGGCTTGCCTGGGCCGAGCCATCGTGTTCCAGGCCCGGTGTCCGTGCCGCTTGGGGTCGTCCGTTAATGTATTAGGGCTTCCCCTGAAAGATATACGCGGCTCTCGTGAAGTTGGTGCGTCTCGTGTTCCGTTTTGGCAAAGGTCATCAGTTTTTAGAATTGTCGCGAGTCGACTATTTGAATAAATATGTTTTTAGCTTCAAGTAGCCAATGAAGTAGGTAGCTAGTATTGATATTTGTGTCTAGGTTTCTTGTCGCGATTGAATAAAAATTCGGGTTGAATTTTATTCTTGCGCCCTTAGTAGGTTTTATTGTATGCGTCCTCCCTGGTACCAGTAGGGTCTCCTGCCCGGGGACATTGAGCGTTTAGGCAGCTCTGTCGTAATTATTAATAGTTACCCGCTCTCCCGTAACAACTTGATCAAGGATGTATCCATGTGATAATAATCACCCGTCACTTGATTATCGGAGTATCCTTCTTATGATAATCACTCTTCAGTTGATCATTTAAGCATCCCCCTGTTATAATCACACATTACTTAATTAAGTACATGCACGTTGTCAGCGCGTGACGCGGGCGCCGTCGGATTCAGACGACGATGAGGAGGAAGGCTCCGTAAATAAAACTAATCATTACGAGTCTTTGGTTAGATATAAAAGAGTGCAAATATTAAGTGATAAGTAAAATAAAACTAATCATTACGAGTCTTTGGTTAGATATATAAGAGTGCAAATATTAAGTGATAAGTTAACTAAAACTAATCATCACAAGTCTTAGGTTAATTATAAAAGAGTGCAAATATTAACTGAAGGGTTAAATAAAACTAATCATTACGAGTCATTGATTAGACATAAAAAATATTTGTTAACGCGCAAATATTAACTAAACAGTTAAATAAAACTAGTTAATCATCACAATTCTTTGGTTAATTATAAAAGAGTGCAAATATTAAGTGATAAGTAAAATAAAACTAGCTAATCTTCACGAGTCATTGATTAGATATGAAAAATATTTGTTAACGCTCACATTTTGTTAACGGAGTCTGCGACAAGGAAAACGTTCGTCAGAGCAGATGTTTTAAGAATCGTCAGCTCAAATTAATGATAACCAATAAAATAAAGTTCAAAAATGAATGTGCAATGAGCTCAGATGTAATCTTGCGGATTATTGAAGATTTCAAACAATAAGTCGTTCTTAGAATCACATCTTATTGTTTATCGCAATTAACACAAAAATTTGGCTGTAAATGCGTCCATGTTATAAGTTTCACGACATTCAGGCGTGACCGCTTGTTTCATGCTTGTCCGAACGCAAGCTTTAGAATTGATTTGATTCATATAAGCTTTATTGCGTTACGTTCATAGTGTATGATAAAATCTATGAAGACCATTATATTCTATTATAAAAGTTGATGAAAAGTTTGCCTATATAGTGAATGTCAGGCGCCTGTTGGGCAAGAATTAAGTTCACGATGAAGTACTCCTCTGATGATAGTCACTCGTCACTTGATCAATGAAGTATCCCTGTGATAATAATCACCCATCACTTGATTATCGAAGTATCCTTCTAATGATAATCATTCTTTTATTGATCATTAAAGCATCCCCCTATTATAATCACACATTACTTAATTAAGTACATGCACGTTGTCAGCGCGTGACGCGAGCGCCGTCGGATTCAGACGACGATGAGGAGGAAGGCTCCGTGGACTCGCGCAAAGAGGACGAGTTCATGGTGGGGAGCGACGCCGCGCCCCAGCACAGGTGCGCTACTGCTGCCCTTTACGATGATGTATTCTTTGCATGATAAGTGTTACTCTACGATGGGGTCTTCTTTGCATTGTGGCTTTAAAAGACAGGACGTGGCTTTTGGGGACAGGACGTGGCTTTAAAGGACAGGACGTGGCTTTTGGGGACAGGATGTGGCTTTAAAAGACAGGACGTGGCTTTTGGGGACAGGACGTGGCTTTTGTTGACAGGACGTGGCTTTAAAAGACAGGACATGGCTTTTGAAGACAGGACGTGGCTTTTGAAGACAGGACGTGGCCTTTGAAGACAGGACACGGCAGGGAGTGACTTTTAGATCCGAGAATATTTGCATAAGAAGGACATGTAGTTTAGTCAGCTAATTCACAAGTTAGGGTTGACGCGGCGCCCTTGAAGAATCCAATCGTCGCCCAGTATGCTTACCCATGCAATCTGCTATGGTATCTCGATTTCAGATCAAACCCGTGACCTATCATCGTAGCTTCAGTTCATCTCCCCAACTTAAAGCTACTCCTCCTTACTCACAACATGCTTACAAAACCGTTCTGATGGATGTAGGCGCAACAGAGCTGAAAATTAGCAAGGGTGCTACTTAATTAAAAATGAGTGGAGCTGCAACTAAGCTGAAAATTCCTGAAAGGGCTACCAAGTTAAATTATTACATGTGACATGCAGTATGAACCTTATATTGGGCTGGATATTGCTTGTTTTCAAAAATTTTCAATAAAATTTATTATGTTTTCAGTCCATTTATGAGTGGGTAATGTTTCTGGCAGATTTTTTTTTGCTGGTCCCTTCCGAGAAATCTGAATATCATTTTAATGACGGAATAATTTTGCATACTCTAATGCGTTAGTATGTTTATTTAAATTATTTATTGCTTGCAATTTGTCACATGTAGGCTCGCTCTATCATAATAAAGCGAATTAAAAGTCTGTTAACAATTCGTGTACGCCAGGTACTACGGAGCGGTTCCCTCGGCTACTCAGAAGCCACAGCCTCTGCACAGACGGTGAGTATTATTTTAGATTCAAATAAAACTGCTATAACTATATCCTTTCAGCTTCCAATTGTATTATGCTTTAATAAGTAAAAATTATTATTTGTTATCCTAGCTATAAAGCAATTAAATATCATTTGTTGTGGTTATTTCTCCAATTAATTTTTTGGCTCCAGTTTTAGTAATTGTTCAATTTATTCGTGATCTTGGTCCTCAAGGATTCGCTTCCAGGGAAGACACGTCCTGAAACATTTTATCTGAGGCGTGTGTTTTAATTAAGTAAAAAACAATAAATAATTTACCCACTTGAAATTTCATATTTTACTCAACTTTTCTGCATCATTCCCATTAAAATCGAGTCATTTAAGGTATCTTGGGACCAAAGTTTGTATGCCATCGTCATCGAAGCTTCCCGTCCTATTTAAATAACATGATAAGACAATTTCGTTAAGAGCGCTTCCTTGGATAGCAGGAAACTTTTCAGCCAAGGATGAAATCGGTAAAAGTGTGTTCTCTTTCACTTAACATTCTACTTTTTGAATTAGATCATCGGTAATGCCTTAATGTCTCCCACTTCGTTCCTCGTCATGAATGTTTGCGCGGATATCTTTGAAGGCCCTAACCCATTCCTGCACCATTCCATCACTCATAATGTTTTTGAAATACACATCACCGATTTGACGATGAATGTTAACTGATTTGAAGCCTTGAGCGCAGAAAAAAACCGTATTACCTAACACACTTTACAGTCGGCTGGATTCTATAGGTAGAGACATTTAAAATTCACGTATACACATGGTTACGTGACGTCTTGATGCCCGTGCGCTAAACAGCGGCCGCTGCGAGTAAGTTCCGCTGCTAAACCGGTACCTACTCTAGAAACATTCCGAGCATTCTAAATGCCACTGCTCCGTGTATAAAACGAACACTACACGGTAGAATAATAACTTCAACTATAACAAAATTGAAACCAAATAGTTAATGTGAAGTAAGCTTTAGTGAATGTTATACTCCGCTACAGCGTGATCGACGTGTTCTGGCAAACACTGCCACAGTTCCTGCCCATCGATGTGGACGCTGCGTGCACTGAGGAGACGGGGCGCTCAGCCGCCCGACTTGTTGGTAGGTGACCACTGCACCGGCGCCTGCAATGTAGATGTAGGCTTAATTTTTTACTCAATTAGGTGGCACAGGCTTAGTTTGTGCTACTGCACCAGCGTCTGCGCTGGTGCAGTCTAGAGTTAGGAGACTCTGGACTGCACCAGCACCTGCGCTGTGCAGTCTAGAGTTATGAGACTCTTGGCTGTATAATCTTAATTTGTGAGGTTGAGTATAGCTTAGTTTACAGCGCGGAATTTATCTGAGCTGTGCAGTCTAGAGTTGTGAGACTCTAGGGTCTAGGCTGTGTAGTCTTAATTTATGAGACTCCCATGCAATGTAGGCTTAATTTTGTACCCAATTAGGCGGCACAGTCGTAATTTGTGCTACTGCTTTGCGGCATAGTCTAAGCTCACGAATTAAACGTCTGAACTAAAACGTTAGGGTAAAGGCTGTATGCGTGTATACCTATTGTACATGTATTATATGATGACACATATTGACCAACTGATTGCCCAACATGAATGACATGAATAACATGACCAACTGATATCCAAAATAACATGAATATTTTGATCTTGTTTCTTAGGTTTGTTGTACCTTAACATTATTGCGCTGGACGTGGCGCTGGTGCAAGGGATAGAGGCGCTAGAGGACCTCTCTCTGCTCATGTGGTTCTTCGTCATCGTTCTCTTCATCGGCGTCCTCGTCATTGTCTTAATGATACAGCGGCATGCAACCTAGAGCGATTATTTCGCGGAGTGTAGAAGTTCAGAGTCGCGTTGACAATTTGCACATTTCCAGTGCCACAAGTCGCAGTAGTGTTTTAGAATCCTTGTATATTTTTAAAGAAAAACCTAGTTCAAGTGCCGCATTCAGCTCCTATCCCCTTAAAATTGTAAATAGATAGGCCTGTCACGTTATGTTTATTTGTTTTTTCCTTTAGAAAAATTTGGTTTTTATCTTCAATGTGAATTTTAGTCTTACAATTGATTCTGCTTGTCTTAAATAATTTTGAACCGACAATGGAGCTGGACTCCGAAATGTTTTCTCGTATAAAGGATTTTTTAACTTGCGATCAAAGCATTCAAGTAGTTTTATCTAAGCAGATATCTTTATGCTTTAAATAGATTATAAGTAGAAAACTATCTTTATCCTTTTATGCGATCTAAGTAGTCAAGTGATTTTACTTCGAAGTAGTGTTGGCAATTTTTATCTAGATGAGGTGAAACTAAATTAGCATCTTGATGATAAATTGTGCTTATAGAATAATTTTTTGGGCAGAACTGCATTGCCGTTCCTGGCGCCTTGTCTGCCGTGGGTGCCATCTACCGCCATCCTGGTCAACATCTACCTTATCCTCAAACTCAACCTCCTCACACTCATCCGCTTCATCGTCTGGATGTCCATAGGTATGTGTGATGCCTGCGGATTATTATGCCTCGTAATATATATTATATTTATAATATTTTTAAGTCCAGCAGCTATCTCAATCAATCGTCAGCTTTAGAAAGATCGTTTTCCAAAGGCCGGATCCCTTGTGAATAGAGTCACGAAAAGTTCAAGAATCGGCAACAGGCCATGGGCCTATTTCTTCAGTGCCGACACTTCTATTCTATTCTATTCTATATACTCTTCAGACAGTAGTTTCCAACCTGTGATACGTAACCTTGGTAAGAGTTCGGGACGCAGATACGTCGGGGGGCCGCCTAAGAGCCGCCACTCCGAATCCCATTGCTAAAGGAACATACTATCTGTACCTCAGTTTGGCACGTTTGACACACGATTCTATTGCTTCCTTCATGCCGATTGTCGTGGTGCAGAGGTCCCATTACTAATGGAACATACTATATGTACCTCAGTTTGACACAGCTGATGCACGATTCTATTGCTTGCTTCATGCCGATTGTCGTGGTGCAGAGGTCCCATTACTAATGGAACATAACTATCTGTGCCTCAGTCACAGCTGATGCACGATTCTATAGCTTGCTTCATGCCGATTGTCGTGGCGCAGAGGTCCCATTACTAATGGAACATAACTATCTGTACCTCAGTTTGACACAGCTGATGCACGATTCTATAGCTTGCTTCATGCCGATTGTCGTGGTGCAGAGGAAGACGATATGTATTGGGTTCAGGAGTATCCTCAGTTTGACACAGCTGATGCACGATTCTATAGCTTGCTTCATGCCGATTGTCGTGGTGCAGAGGAAGACGATAGGTATTGGGTTCAGGAGTACGGTCAGTCGACTCTTGTAAGAGGATGAACTTCTCCTCTCAGCTCCAACGACAGCCTGCATCCCGCCACAGAATAGGATCATTCCAAGAGAGATCCAACTCAAATCACTCCGAACACAGTTATCTGCGGAATCCTAAATATCGTAACCCCCACGCAGCTCCCCCTTGCAATATATTGGTTAGTGATTTGTAATAAATTGGTTTCAGCACGAAAATAAATCTCCTTCGACCCCTGTGGTCTTAGTTTTCCGAGGAGCACTCCATTGTCAAGCTTACCAAAAATTTTTGCAACGTCGAAATACGTCATATCCACAATAGGCCTCACCTTTACTTTAGGTACCTGCTTTCTGATCTTAGTATACCTGCTTCTTTTCTTATTTTAAGTAGCTGAGGTTCATCAATTTCTGAGGTGGGGGTCACTTCTAATTAAAACATATACATAAATACATTTTTATATAGCCTGTTGAGGACTTGAACACTATTCCAGCTATTGAGGAGCGCCCAGTCGTTTGTCAACTTTGAACGATTGGACTCGCCTGCATAGACGAAAGGGAGCTAGTGGTTGCGGTGTACCTCGATTTTACCAAAGCATTTGACAAAGTCAAATGCTTTGGCATGAGCGGCTGTTGCGTAAAGTGTAGTCACATGGAATAAAGGGAAATGTAATTAACACAACGGATCAAAGATTTTCAAATAGGGAGACGAAAAAGTGTCAGTATTAACGGAACCGTATCAGACTGGGCAACAGTGCGCAGTGGCGTGCCACAAGGATGCGTAGTCTGAACGCTTTATCCAAGCAAGTATAACAATTTATCTGCATAACGGCACGCATTTCTAATATCTACTTTAGATTTATTTAACCTGCCTTTTAGCACATCACAGAATCTTTCTTTACTCCAACAGGTCTGGCCATATACTTCTACTACGGCATCCGCGAGAGCACAGTAGACAGAGAGTCCGGTGACATCTGTCTTAAGGTGACCTCACCAGGTCACAAACACACCACAACCACCAGCATCAGTGGCAACAACATCACCACCACCCTCACAAACGATCATAACCTCATCAACAACCAAAAATTAGATGTCAAGCACGAACTACAAGAACCTCGTGTAGCTAAAATGAACCACGCTTCGGTAAATATTCAACCCCAAACCCTGCCAGGGTCCTACAAGCCCAAACCTCCTAAACCCCCGCCTCCACGAACTGCTAGTGGAGATAAATATGAAATATCGAACAAAAACCCCTTCCGCTAAACCGGACCACAGATTATAGTATTACTTTGTTCTCCAAGTTATGATAATGTATAAGGATATTTTGGATGATGATTGTGTTCACTTGGTTGTTTGAGCCTGAATTCGATTTCTTTGTATGCTTAACATTTTGTTAATAACCTACAATACAAACATTTTCAAGGATTATTTTAATGATTATTTTTTGATTTTGATATTGAGCTAATGGCTCAATTTCCAGCTAGAGGAATACGAAAAACAACTTTTTACGATTCCTCTAATTAGAAAAAAGGCCTTCTGATGTCTTACGAACTGGACATAGTAATTTAGGTATGCCTGAATATGCAGCAGTTGAAAATTACATGCACTCATTTTTTACTAAATTTGATAATTGTGTCATACTGATTTCTTGCTTATCAATCTGACTCTATTTAAAACCGTACATTGTTGAATATAAAAATATATCATGAAATTTAAACGAGTGAATAAAAGATTATATTTCTGATCATTTCACAAATGATTGAAAGTTGCCTAGTAACATGGCATAATTAATGCCCAGGATTTATCAAAGCGAGTTAACTTATCAGAAACAGAAATATAATAAGTAATTTAAAAGCACAGAGAACGCCAAGTAAATTACCAAATATAAATATCGAAAACGGAGTCCAGCTCCATTCAGTCTTAAAATGCCTAGCAAATTACGGACCAGGCAATAAGTCCAGCAGCTATCTCAATCAATCGTCAGCTATGGAAAGATCGGGTTCCAAAGGCCGGATCCCTTGTGAATCAAGTCACGAAAAGTTCAAGAATCGGCAACAGGCCATGGGCCTATTTCTTCAATGCCGACACTTCTATTCTATTCTGTCAGTTCTCCGAAACTGGACTCCGAAACGTTTTCAATATAGATATTGTCAATTTACTTGTCGTTCTCTTTGCTTTTAAATTCCTTGCCAACTTGCATTTAAGCAGGCTAAGCATATAAGTATTTATAACAGAAATATTTCAAGCGAAACGAAATGATTCGTCTCAACGCGCTGTTGTACGGACTTCGATGAGACCAGTTCTGTGATGCTAATGTTCACGCAGCAGCAAAAAAAAAAGGCAATCGATGAAGTGTCCAATAAGCTGTTTGTTCTGTTTAATTTTGTTTATACTTGAAAAATGTATGGTTTCTGAAGTTAAGTTGTCAAACGGGCCGCTCGTAGAAATGCTAGAAGTCGTTTTATAGACGTTAATGACCTAAATAGAGGGAAATAACATGAATTTCAAGTTAAAAACTTGCATTTAAATAAGCATTTAACCTTTTACTTCCAGATAATTTTCCATATTTTTAACTTAGTTAATATGTTACAAAACACTTCTTATATCCCTCTTGAAAATAACCATTAAAAAGTTAGCTAATAAAGTTAGTCGTATTTAGTCTACACGACTGAGGTCCAAATACACTATTGTTTATTTCACGTGCATGAAAAATTAACGTAGGTTATTAGTTCATAAAATATGAGATTATTAATATGTTGATTAATCTTGCACATAGCCTTAGAAATTGTTACTGGAATAGTTTTTATTAAAGAAATTTTGAGTGTTGTATGATCCAAGAAAGCTAAATGCTTAAGAAATAATGAAAGAAATAAAAATTTTCTCGGAAAGTCAAGCCGAGCAATTATTAGGATACAAGTTACCTCGTAGAATCATCTAATTTGTGCGCATCATACATATATTAAATATTATGTAGGCGTGATATGATCTTTTTATATTAATAGTGTTGTAGTTGCCTACTTCATATCACCGTCACTCCCCTGTCTCATATCACGATTTCATATCTCCATCAACGATGAAATTGAAGTAACTATGTTTATATATGATATTTTTCACTTCGTATATTCCCGTTGGGTTACATTTCTACCCGTTTTTATCCATACGACGAATCCCGAATTCCGGTAATGGGATGCATGATTTTACGTTAACGATTACATGTACTAGTTGAAACAAACTACCATAAGTATTTCATTTAATTTGGTTATTTTAACACACACTCCCTTGATTACTGTACTAGTGGAAAGTATATCCTTAGTAATTTACTAAATTTGGTTTTTTTAATAACATACACTCATGCTTAAATCTTCTAGCAACAATAAGATGACTTCCTAAAAGTGAAGTTGTTGTTTAGAACTTATTTCACACATAAAAGTTAAAACTCGGCATTAGGAAGTCCAAATGAACTGTTTTGTGAATATTTCAAATTTCCATTTAGTACTCGTGTAAAACGAGTACTAAATGTACTCGTTTACTCAAATGTACTCTAAATGTACGTTTACTCAAATGTTTACTCTAAATGTACTCGAGTATTGCCCTTCACCTAACTTATATTGAAAATAATTTTCGATACCAATATACCATTCGCTCGCATAGTAACAAAGATCTAATTTAGTTTATAAGTAACATTAAATTTAAGCATCATTCATCCGTTCTTGCAAACAGGGTCTTCGTTGTGCATTTAGTTTATTATTAACAAATCATTATGTGGATAACCTTACGCCAGTTTGTAAATAGTTCTTCTCCCCATGAATGAAAAATGTTTGTTTTATTTATTACTTTGTTTGAAAAATCACTGAACCGTGGGAACGGGACTATATACATGTATGTCCACTAGTAATATATATAGATCGAAAGGGAGTGAATACTATACATTTTAGAAATAAGCGAATTATTTCCATGACTTTATAGATATTGCGTCAACCACCCTACATGTTATTTACCGCCTTCGTGATCATGATTGTCACTTGCATCGATGTAGATTGCATTGCAGTTGCAGGTCGCGGTTGAGAACCTGTCTCCATACTCAAAACTCACTTGTACTGATTTTTACTAACATTTTTTTACTGATTTTTTATTTTTACTGATTTTTACTGATTTGTACTTACTTGCCTCACTATAACTCCACTTTCTCAGAGCCCCCGCGAATGTCATGACTGATAAGTAGCCTAATTCTCTCATCTTACGAACATTTGTTACGCTGAAAAATCCTTTGAAATATTTTGTCTACTTTTTGGGCCGTTTAAGTTAGAGCGCCGGTGAGTTTTTCTTCCAACAATGTAGAGGATATCATCAGGTGAAAGTATAGATTTTATTTATTGTTATCAGTGTTGTCTCACAAGCCGTCGTATAGTTGTTAACATTTTTTTATTTCCGTATTTCATGTCGCTTTATTGTCAGTAGTGCTTGGAATGCTGATAATGTCATTAAATCTAATGCTTCTGGGCGTCTTCAGCTTTTAAAAGGGTTCTCCATATTTTCAGCCTAATGCTTCATACGTAGAGCATTGTTGTTAATTACTGTTATTCAATCTGACTAAATCAGTTGTAGTGAAGACATCATTTAATGGAGAGGCCACATTCACACGAGCTAATGAATGTGAGCGCGTTCAGCTCGCAGCAACAAAGAGAGCGAAGAGAGCAGCAACGAATAGACCGAAGAGAGCAGCAACGGTGAGACCAAAGAGAGCAGCAACGAAGAGACCAAAGAGAGCAGCAACGAAGAGAGCGAAGAGAGCAGCAACGATGAGAGCAATGAGAGCAGCAACGAAGAGACCAAAAATAGCAGCAACGAAGAGACCGAAGAGAGCAGCAACGAAGAGACCGAAAAGAGCAGCAACGAAGAGACCGAAGAGAGCAGCAACGAAGAGACCGAAGAGAGCAGCAACGAAGAGAGCGAGGAGAGCAGCAACGAAGAGACAAAAAAGAGTAGCAACGAAGAGAGCGAGGAGAGCAGCAACAAAGAAAGCAATGAGAGCAGCAACCAAGAGACCAAAAAGAGCAGCAACAAAGAGGGCGAGGAGAGCAGCAACGAAGAGAGCGAAGAGATCATCGTTCACACTAGTTCAGGCCACAATAGTGTGTCACTCACCTGGGCTCGTCACCATAGCTGCACCATATCTTCACATTCCCTCCCAGTAATGTATTAGGTACGTGTCTGTAATACAATGTATGAGTAATGTATTACGTATCTGTTTCATCATTTACTGATGAAAATGTCTGGCAGCAGTATTAATGTCATCAGATGCTCTCCATGTTTCTTTAATGTTTTTTTTTTCACGTTGTTTCAACACTGTTAGAAAAAACGGTGTAAAAACGGTCCCACTGGCGTTCTAGTGGCCGGTCGCCCCGTGAAAATAAACTGTTTCGTCGTTTTATAAGATGTTTTACGGATTTCTAGTGTTAAATTAGAATAAAAACGGCAACATGGCGTTTCTTTTCACGTGTCGACCGGCCACTGCAACGCCGGTAATACCGTTAACGGTAATTTTTCTAACAGTGAATAAGATTTAACTATTTGATACACAAAGATTGCTTCACAATATACGAGTGCCACGAAATTATTTATTTACGAGAATGCACGTCCGCGATATTTTCAATTATTCGGTGAAATTCGATCTTAACAGTAAATTACTTCGTCCAACTCAGCCTCTCTGTTACCAGTTCTTATTGCAATCATTTTATTAAGTCATTAAATTTCTGATTGAAGAATATGTTCTACCAAAGGCATGGGTAGCAGCCCACAAGTTACAACTGAATGACGGAATTTTCATGATAAAAACATAGGAAATATTCAAGGGCATTTAACATACCCTAGGTTTTAAATTGTGTTTCTAAAATAAGGATAACTACGTCATTTTCCGCAGGCACTTGTATGTAGTGTAGAGTGTCTACGTAATTAGTTTACTTTGATAAAAAATTTACATCGTTGAATTTGTTTAAAATACAACGCAGTAGTTGATTTTCATTCAACGAATCAACTTCCGTGACGCTGGTAAAAAAATATAACTCAGTACTCACTGCAGTGAGTGACAGAGAGCGCATTTTCTCGTCGACGAAAACTTGAGGTCACGGACGGACAGACGGACGGACGGACATGGCGAGCACAATAGTGCATTATTTTTCCATTAATGAGAAAATTCGCTTAAAACATGGCAGCGATGTTGTGTCCATTGTAATCATGTGGAAAAATCTGTAACCTGGCCTCGAAGAATTCAAGAGTTTGTAATGTTTACATGGCCAAGAGGTCATTGTGATGACGGCTAGTTACAAATACAATTTTGAGCATCAACAAATATTGATTCATTTCATTCTTTTTAATATTAAATTCAAATTTTTGCCATATACATGTATAGCCTAGATATAGATTGCTTTCAGAATGTAAAAATTAACATAATGTCAGAATATCAACATGAAGTGCAATTTAAAAAAATTGTATGAACGTGGTGGTGTATTTGAATAATGCTGTCCTGTATATGGAATACAGTGCATGTACTTGGAATACATGAATGGAATAATGCTGTCCTGTATATGGAATACAGTGCATGTACTTTTCAGGGAAAACTTGTTTTCATTATTCATTATTTATTTATACTAAATTATGAAGCTCATAAATCGAAATTATTTAAAGTTGAAATTTGGTAAGAAATAGCAGCGCTCCGTGTATATTACACTCAGGAACAGGAGTGGGGTTTTGTCCAAATAGCGATGCGCTTTTTACACTTGTGTGGGTCATCCTGACCCAGTTTGGCCTGACGAAATGGCGTATCAGTGCTACGTTCGCTCTCTGCTTGTCCTGAAGGTAAGAAAGAGTGTCATTATTTGGACAATATGACCCAACCATTGTTTTGAGTGTAGGCTTACGCTGTTACATTAGCACAAAACTCTTCGTCTATAATGAGGCTAAAGATACGCGAGAAAATGCTTCATGCAACGGGTTAAGGTTCAGTGTTAGAACAATGTAAATGTACTAGTGTAACTTATTATTATTATTATTATTATTATTATTATTATTATTATTATTATTATTGGAGCAGCGTCCGTAAGTCTCCTAGCATTTCACTTGGATAAATTGGACAGAAGGAAACATGTCGCTATGCGTATATAAGATGCTTGCCTATATGTTATCTTTCTCCCTAACGTAGGTCTTACACTCGCCTTCTGTCATCTGTGTATATTAGAAGAGCTAGAAACGTGATATAATATGGAACTTCATAAAAGATATAATGCCTTGTCAACAAATATTTTGCCAGTAGAGCGTTTCTGAGATGGGATTTTTCAGAACCTGAAGTGGTTTTCTCTTCATTTTTTTTCTTGTTACTAAGTATTTCCTGACTGTAATAGTAGTTCTATAGTTTTCAGCCACAAAAATATAACTTCAGAACTGTGTTCTAAAGTTATTATTTCTCCAAATTTAGTCAAATTATTCCTCCAGATGCATCTTTTGTTCTTCACGATAACATATGGAATTTTTCGTGCAAGGGTCCATTTAGTTTACGGACTTCGTAGTTTAAATTATTGTTTGAACGAAAACCGATTACAACGACCACGATTATTTTAAACTTTATCTGAATGGTACACTGTTAGAGAAAACTGTGAAAATACGGTCCCACTGGCATTCTAGTGGCCGGTCGCCCCGTGAAAATAAACTGTTTCGCCGTTTTTATCAGATGTTTCACGGATTTCTAGTGTTAAATTAGAATAAAAACGGCGACACGGTGTTTCTTTTCACGTGCCGACCGGCCACTGAAACGCCGGTAATACCGTTAACGGTAATTTTTCTAACAGTGTAGAAGCCAGTGACTTGTATGGATTAAATGGAAGGTTGTATACTAGTTTATCAACTTCCATTCCTTCAATTACATATTAACTTCGTTGTAAAGCTATGTAATCTTATTATGTTAATAACGTTGTGACATAATAAATAACATAAATAAGTTAGACATTTATATGATTTTAATTAACGAACAGGTAATGTTTTATTCATAAAATTAACGTAAGATTGTTTAAGCATTACTCGTGTTTAAAGCCAGTCTTTTCTTGCCCGTATATCCCGCGCACTCTTTCAAAACTCGCTAAGTGAACGTAAGTACTTACGCTCTATTTTCTTGTCTATGATTAAGTGAACGTAAGTACTTACGCTCTATTTTCTTGTCTATGATTGGTGGATTTTGCTTGAAAGGCCGTCAATGATTGGCTGATGAACTTACGATCTCTTAACTGTTTTTTAAAGTGTGGCTTGAAAGGCCGTCAATGATTGGCTGATGAACTTACGATCTCTTAACTGTTTTGAAAGTATAGACTCTGATCACTGCACAAAGTGGCTTGTCTAGCTGTGTGTAGATTGTAACGTTCATTGCGACGACGTAGTGATGTAGATTGTGTGTACAATTGTGTTTACCGTGTACATTTGTGTGTTTCACTAATGTTTTTATGGTTTAAACCTCGTTTTTTTTAGTTAAACGTGCTTTCAGTTTACGTTGAAGTTAACGAGCCTTTTCCATTAATCAGATAGCAACTTTCTGATCATTTTTAACATACTTCATCTACCCAATTCTTTATCATGACACAATTCCAACCTTACCCTATCTAGTGCTGGATCTTTTCACTTATTATTTAATGAATCCAGCTCATACATTCTTGCTATATTTGACTAGGAACTATCAATTTTCCTGCAAAATAGAAACATGAGAAAAACGGACTGTATTAAAATTAAAAAATATTAATCAATTATCAAACTGTGGACGGTGTGTAGTACCAGTAAGTGCATGCATTCATGCTTACAACTTACAACAGATAGAACTAAATTCTTCATAATTAAATTCTATCTGGATTAATTATAATCTTTTCCACACATACTACTTGTAGAATTCAAATCATGAAATATAACGTGACGAGTACACATTTATCTGCGTAAATCAATACCAAGCGATTCAAGTGTGTGCATCATAAATGATCGTTAAAATCGCTCAAATTTATCGTTTTAATTAACCACTGTCCGTTTAATGAACCTCGTCGATAACCTAAAACGTGGTGGAAACATTCAACTAATTTTAATGTCAGAGAGTGTGGAAGTTTGACGTACCTAATATCTCACTGTATATTCATCAGTAGTGATGTTACTTAAACCTAGACTTTGAACTTGTGAGACTGCGATGAACAACTTCTATACGTTGTGCCCTTTTTAAATGTCTTAGTAATAGAATGTGAAAGCGTATTACCAAATGTCCTGGGGCCGTACTTTCAAAACTCGCTAAGTGAACGTAAGTACTTACGCTCTATTTGCTTGTCTATGATTGGTGGATTTTGCTTGAAAGGCCGTCAATGATTGGCTGATGAACTCACGATCTCTTAACTTTTTTTGAAAGTATAGGTCCAGATCCGTTGTTGTGCTGCCATACTCGTAGTTATTGACTCTATTTTAAAAGAACCTCCAGTCTTAGCCCGTGCTGGAAAGCGAGGTTCAGTTGTTCTGAAATTAAATACAATTTCGCTTTTCACTATCCATGATGGATATCAAAGCGAGGAGTGCATGCGCGGAGAACTTTGGTTCATCGTGTGATTTTAATAAGTGTACAACTTATGTGGGAATAGGTTTAAATAACATTAGGTTCTGTTATAATGGTCTTGTTGAACTTATATTCATGCCTAGTGATAGCTTCTTTTTATTACTTATAGTGCGTGTTTTGCTTCCGTGTGACAGTGTACGTGGTGAGTGGTAGGATGACAGTTATATTAATGCTAGTATATTGAGTGTAACTACTCCATTATTTATTCCGCATTTTATACTTTCAAGTAATTAAGTCACAATATTAGGAAAGTTCTAACAAGAAACTTTACAGAAATATAGACCTCTGCATTCAACTCAAACATCGTAAACCCATCTATGTTGAATAACCGAGATGGCGCCAACACACGATAAATGATGAAAATAGCGCTGAAATTATTTTTTGTTGCATCAAAATCTCAACTCTAAATTGGATTCATTTATATTTATGTTGAGGCTCCAATAAGATTCCAGGACTAGTAATGCTTCTCACCTCAAATCAATGTACTATTCTGCCTTATTTTATTGAACTTGCATATCACTGTGTAAGATGTCTTAAATTTTAATCAGAAAAAATTCTTACATTTTGATCACAAAATTTTTTTTCGAAAAAAAAAACGATTGTGATTTCCGAAAAAAAAACGATTCTATAGTGTGAAAAACCGATTCTATGTACTAGAACCTTTCAAAAATTAGAACCGGTGTAAGGAAAAACAAAAAAAAATCTGGCGCAACAAATTTTGAATGGAAGGGCCAAATAACGTAGACAAATAATTAATTTTTCTCCTCTTTAAATGTTTTTCTGCATGCATGCATTACCTCTTGAAAATTATGTAGGATTATTGTGGTTTATGGTCCATTTTCAGAGCGTTTCTACTTTATGGAAGAAGCAAGACATAACCCCCTCCAACATAACCCCTGCAACATAACCCCTGCAACATAACCCCTCCAACATAACCCCTCCAACATAACCCCTCCTACATAACCCCTCCAACATAACCCCTCCAACATAAGCATATGCTAATACAGCCTATATAGAATACAGCCTATACAGTATACAGCCTATACAGTATACAGCCTATACATTATACAGCCTATACAGTATACAGTCTATACAGTATACAGCCTATACAGAATACAGCCTATACAGTACACAGCCTATACAGTATACAGCCTATACATTATACAGCCTATACAGTATACAGCCCATACAGTATACAGCCTATACTAATTCAGCCTATACAGTATACAGCTATACTAATTCAGCCTATACAGTATTAAACCTATACTAATTCAGCCTATACAGTATACAACCTATACTAATTCAGCCTATACAGTATACAACCTATACTAATTCAGCCTATACAGTATACAACCTATACTAATTCAGCCTATACAGTATACAACCTATACTAATTCAGCCTATACAGTATACAACCTATACTAATTCAGCCTATACAGTATACAACCTATACTAATTCAGCCTATACAGTATACAACCTATACTAATTCAGCCTATACAGTATACAACCTATACTAATTCAGCCTATACAGTATACAACCTATACTAATTCAGCCTATACAGTATACAACCTATACTAATTCAGCCTATACAGTATACAACCTATACTAATTCAGCCTATACAGTATACAACCTATACTAATTCAGCCTATACAGTATACAACCTATACTAATTCAGCCTATACAGTATACAACCTATACTAATTCAGCCTATACAGTATACAACCTATACTAATTCAGCCTATACAGTATACAACCTATACTAATTCAGCCTATACAGTATACAACCTATACTAATTCAGCCTATACAGTATACAACCTATACTAATTCAGCCTATACAGTATACAACCTATACTAATTCAGCCTATACAGTATACAACCTATACTAATTCAGCCTATACAGTATACAACCTATACTAATTCAGCCTATACAGTATACAACCTATACTAATTCAGCCTATACAGTATACAACCTATACTAATTCAGCCTATACAGTATACAACCTATACTAATTCAGCCTATACAGTATACAACCTATACTAATTCAGCCTATACAGTATACAACCTATACTAATTCAGCCTATACAGTATACAACCTATACTAATTCAGCCTATACAGTATACAACCTATACTAATTCAGCCTATACAGTATACAACCTATACTAATTCAGCCTATACAGTATACAACCTATACTAATTCAGCCTATACAGTATACAACCTATACTAATTCAGCCTATACAGTATACAACCTATACTAATTCAGCCTATACAGTATACAACCTATACTAATTCAGCCTATACAGTATACAACCTATACTAATTCAGCCTATACAGTATACAACCTATACTAATTCAGCCTATACAGTATACAACCTATACTAATTCAGCCTATACAGTATACAACCTATACTAATTCAGCCTATACAGTATACAACCTATACTAATTCAGCCTATACAGTATACAACCTATACTAATTCAGCCTATACAGTATACAACCTATACTAATTCAGCCTATACAGTATACAACCTATACTAATTCAGCCTATACAGTATACAGCCACACATGTTATCCTGTTATCTTCTCTCAATGTCGAAGGTTGTGCCTGTGATTGAATTAAATGCTGATTGTTGTTCACGAAAATATTCTCTATCCTTCCAGTTCACGCAAAACTTTCATGATCTCGGTTAGTTGGAATTCTAATTTCAGAAAGAGATTTGAAAATTTCAAGTATTTTCACAATTGAATAGAGAGAAAATTACTTACCTCCATAAGGGAGATAATATCTTGTTCACGAATATGTTCTCTATCCTTCCAGTTCACGCAAAACTTTAATGATCTCGGGTATTTGGAATTCTAATTTCAGAAAAAGATTTGAAAATTTCAAGTATTTTCTCAATTGAATAGAGAGAAAATTATTTACCTCCATGAAGCGAGATAATATCTTGTATAGAATTAAGTAATTGATCGTCTTTATCGTTATGAGAGTTGAAAATTGATTCGTAAGTCTATATAGCAGTAGGCCCTGATGACACATTTTCTGATTGTGACAACGATCCGCTCTATGGCAACGACAACGATCCACTCTATCGCAACGACAACGATCTGCTCTATCGCAACGACAACGATCCACTCTATCGCAACCACAACGATCCGCTCTATCGCAACGACAACGATCCGCTCTATCGCAACGACAACGATCCGCTCTATCGCAACGACAACGATCCACCCTATCGCAACGACAACGATTCGCTCTGAGATCGTTCCATTTATTGGAACTCTGATGTCCAAAATCGTTCCATTTCTTGTCCTTCCAGCCGACAAAAAAAAATAATTATCTCTGAATAAATAATAACTCACGCGCAATATTTTCTAGAAATTCTCGCAGCTAAGGAAGGGAAAAAAGCTAAGCTGCTCGTGACAATGTTTCTTCTCGCAACAGAAGCCATTACTCCGCGTATGGCTTCTGGAACGATTTTGCACGGTTGATATGGCTTTTTGGAACGATTTGTCAAGCATAGATTTATTGGCTTCTTTCCCCAAGTGCTCATCCAGTAAACGTATCTAATGATTCGTCCATAACGCTTCTGGCCGCGCGGATCAAAGCAGTTTTTGACAACGTGACTTCAAACTACATGTTTTTGTATACACCAACTGGAGAATTCGATGGAATCTATCAATAAAATTGTTATCTACTCCGATGAATCTTAGTTCGGCGCTGGTAACATCAAAACTATCAATCAAATCCCGGCTGAAGGCTTTTCATCAAAGACAAATTTTAAGACTGAACATAAAAATCAAAATATCTATTTCAAATCCCGCGTTTCAAAAACAATTAAAACTGATATCTACAACATTGACATCTGGTAAGTTCTCGAGGCAGATTTATGTAAAAAAATGCCTAGCATATTAATAGTTCGTACAAATGAAAATAGTAACCCGTGTCCACTCAGGACAATTCTCAAAGGAATCATTACATTTTATGCATAATGTAATTACATGTTCTTATAGACAAGTGAACGCTTTCATATTGCAAACGATTATTTATCGTATGCTACAGTGTTCTTCATATCAGATATTAGGCATTAGTTCGCAGAAATGCCGGTAAAAACGTTGATCTGCATTAACAATCATTTGGGGTTGTTCATTAATTTGATCAGCTGCTATTTGACACATGCGCAATTTAACATTCCTTTGTTTTATTGTTTACACCATCGCCCTCTACAGGCCGCACCCGCACTTAGAAGCAGACTATGGCCTGTCCGTACGTGTAGTGTTTGCCTAAGCTCGTTTAGATTGTTAAATGTAGGTATTTAAAAACAGTTTTAATGGTGATAACTGATGTGTAAATACTTTTTACTTCAGTTCATGGCGATATTTTACCACTGAAATGGGGGGCCAGCAAGGGAAAGAGCGTCACTGTACTATAAGTGGCGGCGGCACATTGACAAGAGCAAGTAGAGCAAAATACCGCTCGGGGAAAGACGTTCGTTCTGCCAATATCTTCACTGAACATAACGGTAGGTGATGCAGTTTATGCGTGTATTTATATGGACGTTTATGCATAATTTATAGAGCTAATTATTTGGCATAACCAATCGAAGCAATCTGCATTGTTGAATATTTCCCAGCTGGTGAGGCATCGTTAGGTATTGGCCGTATTGCATGAAATTTATCATGCCAATCAATCCTAATTTCAAACTATTTTCTTAGCACACTGGCAGCCTGTCAAGCAGGCTGCCGTGAAAATTCTATTATAAGTATACTACCTACTATACTATAGACTAAAGTTTTATATTTTATAAGTACTTTAAAGTTAGAATTTTACTATAGTTTCTGGGTCTGTTGATGAAGTTTCTATTTTGTTTGCTGCTTAGTGCTTGGGTCTTTTAAGAAATAGATTTTTTAGGCTTTTTTGTTATGCTAATTACTGTTGATAAATTTATTATAGGTGGTCATTGGTTACTAGGTATGTGGGAAAAACTTTATTATATGTTCACTCACTTCACTGGAACTGGAATGTGTAACTATAACTGCCCTTAACCAATCTGCCAATTATGGAAAACTGCATTGATATTTGATGCCATTGCCAAGTTGCCAAATCCTATAAAAAAGGGTGACAATAATGCCTGTGTTTATAGAATTATAGTCAATTTAACAATTTTTACAGACTTTGCTTATATTTTTTTATTATAAATAAGGAAAGGCACATTTCTACCTGCAAATTTCAGAGATTGCCTTAAAAAAATAAGTTTTTATCCATGATTTTTAAGAATTTTGTGTTATTACAGACTGGGAAGTGGGAACTTTAAAAATTATTCAACTTTATTGTTTAATATAATTTACTTAGGCTATTTGGAAATTTACAGTTCTTAACAGGATTGCTAAAGATTTGTACATAATTGTGCTAGAAATGATTCACGCAGATCTGGCCAAATTGGAAAACTGGGGAGAATCCACCTGTGAATTGGCAAGAAGCAATGAATATGGGCTATGGCCAATTTTACCTGTTTTTATGACTTTTCTTGATTTCTCCTAAAGACTCATATATAAATTTAGGAATGGCCTATTTTTACCTGCCACTGGCATATGTATGAATCTCCTGTGTAAGGATAGTTTTTACCCATGATTTCAGGAATCTTCTGCACAATATTCCAAATAAGGGATCTGGTAGGACCCGTAGGAGTTCTTGACCATTCTTATGGAGTCACCCAATTTTTGCTATTCAAGGTATCTATGCATACCATGGAATGAAATAACATCTCAATGGAGTCTATAAATTCCTCCTATCATTGCCAAAATCACAAAGCCTATAAAATGAGGAACCTGTAATTGATAGTGTACTGTATCTGTCCTAGTCTCCTAGCTGCTCCCACAGACAACATGCACACAGCAGTTGCTCTCTCCTTCTCCTCTAATGCGGATGTGAGAGCAGCTGCTTTACCCATGATTTTAGCAGAGTTAGGCTTCAGCGATATTTTGGATATTATATTTACAATACCGTACTTCTTAATGAGAAAATATCTTCACATTTTAAACTAACATTTTCAAAAGCACATCAGAAACGTTTGGATTTACCATAAAAAACATACTAAGTTTTTTTTGTGTTGTCAAGCACAACTGCACAATTTCTTGGCATATGATTTCTTGAAAAAATTTAATATTACTCATTAACATAGACATAAAAAGACCTGCATCACTTGTGTACTCCATCAAATTTGTCATTCAAGGAAAATCTCCCTAGGCAAATGCCATTGACTTGACATATCAATATCTATTAAACACAACAAGTTTAATTCAATGCCAGATGTCTTGTGGGATTTCACATTTGTTTTTCTAGCATGAATGGCTCTCCTGGTACTGTAGATAGCTGCTTGCTTTGTGCATTTGACATTCAATTGATGCAATTTGATTTTGGCTCCTTGCATTCTGCATTTAAGCTTGAACTTAATGCAGATTTTTTATTGGCAATGATCATGCATGGGATTCAATTATCATTTAATTTTAATTTTCCACATCCTGTGGAAGTATTGAAGATTTTTTACTGTCACAGCAAGCAGCAGAGTTGGTTACTGAAGTGGTAGTTTAATCTTTAAATGGTGGAAAAGCTCTAGTTTCAACTTGAAAAGGGAATTTTCCATGCCTGGGTCCTGGAAGAATTACCTTTTCTCAAATAATGTTAGTGACTGCCTGTTGGCAAATGAATTGGTTATTATGAAGGTCCTAATTTCCCTCATTAATCTTATCTTTATTTTTATTGTCCCCAGTGAGGCTATGTGTTATTTTTGTTTCCATGCGGCATGCAAGGTTCACACCATCTTTTACAGCCCTTGGCTGTCCCATTACTAACCTACTAACTTTTACCATTCATCTTTGTATACCACCAATTTTATTCCATTTATATTTTGCTTAATTTTTTGCTTTTCCTGAATTCTGTTCAATTGTATTTCTGATTCATGAGCTGGAACAATACCAGTCAGACTGCAGACCTGTAGACAGGGCAGACCCCCAACAACTTAATTTTTGGAAAGCATGAAACATCCATTTTTGGAAGGCATGGCTTGTAAGCTTAAATTATGTAGTCTGTTACCCTATGTAACTTCGAAAATGATTAGAACTGTAGTATATACTCACTTAGAAAAGAGCTACCAAATAAAAACCAATAATACCCTAACTGGCCATTGGCTGGTAATTGGTTGGTATAGTCCATAAATGGTGAAGTCTCTGGCAGAAGTAAACTTTTTTTTCATAGAATTCTATCATTTCTGAGTTATTGCAGCACGTTTCATTGTGCATGGAATCTATGTTCCGTGTTATGAGCGCAGCACGTTTCATTGTGCATGGAATCTATGTTCCGTGTTATGACCAGAGCTTTCCTGCCATTTTCTGAGCTGCAAAATACTCACTAGATGAATTACTTTCTATCAAACTATTAATAAAAGTGCACACTCAAGCCACAAAATTTCAAATTTATTTACAATATGTCTCTTTGGAGCTAACCAAATTTTAGTACAATGTTATATATTTACTATATTTTGTGGCCATATTACCACATATATTGATATATTGAATGAAAAGTTTAAGTAGATAGGGTAAAGAAGAATCAATAGGTTTCTAATAGTCTCTTATTTGCCACTATGCCATATCCTAGTTTCTGGCATTGAGCATTTTAATTTATCAAATCTTTACAAGTGGTGGACTGTATATCAAAATTTCTTAAGTTTGGAATAAAATATGCCAATTAATATTGCAGTTGATCCATAAAGAACAGTCTAATCTGTTTCAAAGTAGAATAATTATGAAAATTTGTCTCTGCAATTCATTGCATGGATTTCCATGTTTTTATCCCTGAATTAAGATTTACAGTTGCAACATTATTGAGCCTGAAATAATACATTGCAGCATTTAAGTTCCAAAAATATACATTTGGTTACTAATCTTAGTGTTTTTTTCACCAGAAGCTTTGATGGCAGCTCGTCCTCTCCCTGAGCTACCAAGCATGTTGACCCCACAAGGCGGTCCTGGCCCTCCAGGCTTGACTCAGCAACATCTGGATGCTATGACTGGAGGTGTTGCTGGTCCTTGTTTTAACTCTGCTCTTCAACATGCTCAGCATCCCCCCGCTTCTCTGGCTCACACAATGCCACACGGCATGGGGCAGGCCCAGCACCACACTCAGCAACAAGTCAACGCCCATGTCATTTCTCATACTTCTTCACTACACAGCACCCCAATGACTCCAGCTTCTTCAGTTGTCACCACACCAGGTTCTGTTTCCTGTCAAATGATGTAAAATGTAATACACAACAAATTAATTAACCGTTGCTGAATCTTTATGTATATATGTATTTTTTTGGATTATTGCTTGTGAAGAAAATTTTCTTTTTATTGCATTATAAATAACTGTGTTGATAATTACTTATAAGATATTTTTCGTGAAATATGATTAGTTTCTCCTGCTATTTGTATCATTTGTAAGATTATCTCCCAGCAGATATTTAAATTGTGTCAAGTGTTATGCCACTCATGACATGACTTCTCATGTACAGGCACAGGGTTGGATTCATCTTCCTCGAGCTCAGCTGTGCGATGGCACTCAAGGGAAGACTTGCTGGCGCAGGAGGAGGAGGCTGGCGACCCCCAGCTTTTTGTAGCTCTATACGAGTTCAGAGCGCAGGGAGAAAATCAACTGTCTCTTAGGAAAGGTTAAGATACATAATTGTACTTATAGAGCACAGGGAGAAAATCAACTGTCTCTTAGGAAAGGTTAAGATACATAATTGTACTTGTACAGACATTCACCCACACTGACACATTGTCACATCCATATTCATTTTAACTCACAATGTACGCTGACAAGTTTATATAGCTGTATGAAATCTTTCTTATGTGGCTCATCTGTATCAACTAAAAAAAATATATGATGGGTAACCTTTTCCTCGAGCGAGCCACTTTTCTCGAGCCTTTTCCTCAAGCCACTTTTCTTCAAGAAAATATCTTCAAAGTTTATTAAAATTAGAAAATTAGCCAAGCAACAATTTACAACATCAAATAATTCAATACATTTTACTCATTTTTTCTTTGTAATAACATCTTATATGACAGAAGAAGTATGTTGAATCTTAATTCCATGCAATGTAATTAACATTCAACAGACTACTGCAACCAATAGAGTATGAAAACCTGACGTGGTATAAGAATAGATTACTGACATTTGTATATTTAGGGTAGAGCCTTTCATTTGAACATGTTTGGTTAAAATTTTGTGCAAATTTGAAGACACATTGACCCTATTACTGTACCTCTTATCAGAAAGCCTGAGAGATTAAACTCAAAAGAAGTCTTCAATAAAACTGGCATTATTTTTAACCAAACATGCTTACTGACATTTGTATATTTAGGGTAGAGCCTTTCATTTGAACATGTTTGATTAAAATTTTGTGCAAATTTCAAGACACATTGACCCTATTACTGTACCTCTTATCGGAAAGCTTGAGAGATTAAACTCAAAAGAAATCCTCAATAAAACTGGCATTATTTTTAACCACACATGCTTACTGACACGGTGTTTGTATGCCTCAGGCGAAGTCCTCAATAAAACTGGCATTAGAAGTCCTCAATAAAACTGGCATTATTTTTAACCAAACATGTTTACTGACATGGTGTTTGTATGCCTCAGGCGAAGTCCTCAATAAAACTGGCATTAGAAGTCCTCAATAAAACTGGCATTAGAAGTCCTCAATAAAACTGGCATTAGAAGTCCTCAATAAAACTGGCATTAGAAGTCCTCAATAAAACTGGCGTTATTTTTAACCAAACATGCTTACTGACACTGTGTTTGTATGCCTCAGGCGAGCAGGTGCGCGTGTTGTCCTACAACAAGACAGGCGAGTGGTGTGAGGCTCACTCCAGCGCAGGCGAGGTGGGGTGGGTTCCCTTCAACTACATCACACCCGTCAACAGCTTAGAGAAGCATAGTTGGTGAGGTTTCTTTCATTGTGCAGCGTCAGATAAACATTTTACTTTGCTGTTTACATTCAACTGAACTATTTCCTACTAGGAATTTTTTTTATTGAATGTTAGTGCCCCATGAATTGGCAAACAACCCTGTTCCCTTTGAAATAGCTACGGTAATTTATAATAATAAATTTTAATTTCAATGCTAACTTACAGATTTCTTAAGTCAACTTTAGTCATGGTAACCTGTCAAGCTTTCACGGTAATTACGACAGCCTGTCTCTTGTATCCTACATGTGTAGGATACAATTACGACAGCCTGTCTCTTGTATCCTACATGTGTAGGATACAATTACGACAGCCCATCTCTTGTGTCCTACATCCCTAGGATATAATTGCGACAGCCTGTCCCTTGTATCCTACATACCTAGGATACAATAACGCCAGCCTGTCTCCTGTATCCAACATTCACCTCATGTTATGTCGCAGGTATCACGGCCCCATCTCCCGCAACACGGCCGAATATTTGCTGTCATCAGGCATCAACGGATCCTTCCTGGTGCGCGAGAGTGAGAGCAGTCCTGGCCAGCGCAGCATCTCCCTGCGCTGGGACGGCCGTGTTTATCACTACAGGATAAACGAAGATGACATGAACAAAGTCAGTGTGCTGTGCTGTACTGCTGGGCCTATACTTTCAAAAAAAGTTAAGAGATCGTAAGTTCATCAACCAATCATTGGCGGCCTTTCAGGCAAAATCCACCAATCATAGACAAGAAAATAGAGCGTAAGTATTTACGTTCACTTTGCGAGTTTTGAAAGTATGGCCCCTGGTGTACTAAGCTACTGTAGTAGTCCCTCGCGCTATATCGCGCTTCACCTACCGCGGCTTCAATTCATTGCATGCTTCCAAGAAATATTAATGTGAAGAATCATTTGTGGATCTTTGCCGGTGCGCGTGGATTTCTTAAAAAGTATATTGGCATATTTACACAGCCCGCGGAACTCGATCGGCAGTAAGATATAGGGCGAACTATTGATATAGTTCGGTAGAAGCCGTCCTTTTATTCAACTATGAAACTTAAAAAATAATTGCAATATAAATACTTGAAAATTTGCAATCTGTCACTCAATTCCTTATCGCGGCCAAGGTAAGGAACGTAACTCCCGCGATTTGTGTGAGATTACTGTATTCTACATCATGTAATGTATGCTCCTAATGATCCAATTCTTGATAAAGATCCCGCATGTTATATCTCCAGTTTTATGATGAAAAGCCAAAAAGTACTATTTTAATAATGTGAAAATAGTTCAAACGTTTACATTACCATATTGATGGTAATGACTGATAATGAATTTGAGCTCATAGTCTTATGATATCTGAACGACTTTGGCCACGGCGAAGCTAGTGCGTCGCTCTCACATCATACCTCATCCAAGCAAGAAAAAAACTGGGCCCAAGTTGTCGTACTGGCATTGCTTGCTTGCTCTGTATGTTCCTGCTTATTTTTTGCTCTCGTGCTTTAACCTGCATTCGTAATTAATTTTCAAACAAAATTGATTATGTTGTTGCTGGGCCTATTCATCGATTAGCTTGCTTATGCTCTGTATGTTCCTGCTCATTTCTGCTTATTTTTTGCTCTCGTGCTTTAACCTGCATCTATAATTAGTTTTCTGACAAAATTGATCTTGTTGTTGCTGGGTCCATTCATCAATTAACTTGTATTATTTCACTATGGTATAGTAACTGGTAACCTTACCAGGCGTTGCCCGGGATAGAAATACCCTGATTTTGCAAATACTATTGCATGAAAATACTGTTACGTGTTTTTATCTGAATTAATGCTACAACGAATGAGATAGGTTCACACCCAAATTTTAAAATTAAAGCTGTAACGAATAAGATAGATATGTTCAAACCCACATTTAACTTAAATTTAGGTACTTTTCAACATTTTCCGAAGTTAGAAGCGTTTTCTTAATTGAATCTATTACCCAATTAAAAAAAATTATGTGGACTAAACAAGGATTAAATCTACTAACTCAGACCAATAAAAAAATTCTATTTATGCCAGCCTCCATTCCCTCATTTTTTACTGCCTACAGATTAATTCGCTAGCATTAAAGTTCCATTACCGGAGAATATCCTGCTACAATATATATCTTCGACACGAGCTTGCGTAGCAATCATGTGTATCTTGTGCCTAGCTTCAAAAAATATACCTCAGTACTCACTGCAGTGAGTAACAGAGAGCGCATTTTCTCGTCGTCGAAAACGTGAAGTCACGGACGGACGGACGGACAGACAGACGGACATGGCGAGCACAATAGTGCATTTTTTCCATAAATAAGAAAATACGCTAAAAAGGCCCTTAAAGAAGCTAGTCCTAATATACATGTATTATTTCATGCACCTGTCCCTCCTTGTCACTTCGTCTCTTTGAGATGCGAACGCTGCTTCTTTCGAGCCAGCTTCACCGGGCTGGACATCTGAGACCTTCCGCCCCTTGTGGGTGATGAACAATTTTTGATTTGAGAAACTTTTGTGACAATTGAGCCCTTCCACCTCTATGGTGATGTTCATCTTGACTTTCGGTGCGAGATAGCTAAATAGCTGAAGCGCTAGTAAACATGTGACCACTAAACTAACTAATTAACTAACTATTTCATGCACTTCTTTCACGAATTGTTTTTTGTGAGTTTACATTTTCTTTGAATAAGACTTGACATTTCCTCTCTGCAGCTGTACGTATCAAGCGAGTTTAGATTCCCAACACTGGCTGAGTTGGTGCACCATCACTCACAGCACTCAGACGGACTCATCACTCAGCTGCTCTATCCCGCCCCTAAACGCAACAAGCCAACCGTCTTCGGCCTGACCCCTGGTGAGCATACCTCTGTCTTCACGGGCCTTGAGGTGGAACGTTCATTTACTGCTACGATTTTGATCTGAACTACCGATAGCCTTTTTCATGACAATACATTTGTATTTTAACTCCTTTGAACTACTTTCAAATGAATGAGCTTTTGGTCTTTTTATACACTAGTTTACTAACTTGATCTGAACTACCGATAGCCTTGTTCATGACAGTACATTTGTATTTTAACTCCTTTGAATCACATTTTAAATGAACGAGTTTTTGGTCTTTTTATACACTAATTAAGTCCCTTGAATAATTTTGGATTGCTTTGTTGTAATATATTAATATAATTGTAATTAAATATATATTATATGATTATTAATATAATTAATAATTAATATCATATTAATATATATAAATATATGTTAATTGTAATATATTTGATAAGGCAGTGATGCATTGCTGGATTGCAGAGCCTGATCAGTGGGAGATAATGCGCACCGACATCGCCATGAAGCAGAAGCTTGGAGGCGGGCAGTACGGCGACGTCTACGAGGCGCTATGGAAGCGCTACAATGTCACGGTTGCCGTCAAAACACTGAAGGCACGTAATATTAATTTGAGTACCTATTCACAAATAAAATGCCCTATGAGGCGCTCTGGAAGCGCTACAATGTCACGGTTGCCGTCAAAACACTAAAGGCACGTTATATTAATTTAGTATTGTCAAATAAAATGCCCTTAAGTTCTACTACAGACATTAGCAGCGTATTTTTCTTTTAATAATGCTAGCCACTGGAGAAAGTCAATAATTTCACGTGATGATTTCCAGAGCCGCTTAGACCTCGTTTTTTTTGCAGATTTATCCTGTAATTACTTCAACTATTATCAGTGGTCCTTTCATGGCTATTTTTTCCAAGTGTGTTGTTAATTAAATTCATTTGACAATCTTCCCTATTGTAGGAAGACACAATGGCTCTGAAAGATTTCCTGGAGGAAGCGCGAATAATGAAGGAAATGAAGCACCCTAACCTGGTGCAGTTGCTGGGTGTGTGTACGCGCGAGCCTCCCTTCTACATCGTGACGGAGTTCATGTCGCGCGGCAACCTCCTAGACTACCTCAGGTCTTGCTGCCACACGGACGTCAACGAGGTCGTTCTCCTCTACATGGCCACGCAGATAGCTGCCGGCATGAAGTTTCTTGAGGCTCATTCTTTTATTCATAGGTACGAATTTCATTCATTTGCAGTAGGTACATTTTGTATTTGTGTATGTTATTCTTGTAATCACTCATTTATGTTTGTCAGCTTACGTTCATATGCAGTATATATAGTATTTGTGTGTGTTAATATTCTTAGAATCACTCGTTTATGTTTGTCAGATTTCGGCAACTTCTACGGCTGAGAAATGTCGTGTACTTACTGCACCCGTCTTTCCTAATGAAAGGAGCTCATACATCGTATTTCCTCTTAATTTTCTTGTAGTTGTATTGATTTGTGTCTCGTGTTTCAGTTTGTGCCTCATGTTTCAGTTTGTGCCTCGTGTTTCAGTTTATGCCTCGTCTTTCTGTTTGTGCCTGATGTTTCTATTTGTGGCTCGTGTTTCAGTTTGTGCCTCATGTTTCAGTTTGTGCCTCGTGTTTCAGTTTGTGCCTCATGTTTCAGTTTGTGCCTCGTGTTTGTTTGTGCCTCATGTTTCAGTTTGTGTCTCGTGTTTCAGTTTGTGCCTCGTGCTTCAGTTTATGCCTCGTGTTTCTGTTTGTGCCTTGTTTGTGCCTCGTGTTTCTGTTTGTGCCTCGTGTGTCAGTTGGTGCCTTGTGTTTCAGTTTGTGCCTTGTGTTTCAGTTTGTGCCTTGTGTTTCAGTTTGTGCCTCGTGCTTCAGTTTGTGCCTCGTGTTTCTGTTTGTGTCTCGTTTCAGTTTGTGTCTCGTGTTTCAGTTTGTGCCTCATGTTTCAGTTTGTGCCTCGTGTTTCAGTTTGTTCCTCGTGTTTCAGTTTGTGCCTCGTGTTTCAGTTTGTGCCTCGTGCTTCACTTTGTGCCTCGTGCTTCAGTTTGTGCCTCGTGTTTCAGTTTGTGCCTCGTGCTTCAGTTTGTGCCTCGTGCTTCAGTTTGTGCCTCGTGCTTCAGTTTGTGCCTCATGTTTCAGTTTGTGCCTCTTGTTTCAGGGACCTGGCTGCACGTAACTGTTTGGTGGGGGAGAACCACCTGGTGAAGGTGGCAGACTTCGGCCTGGCGCGCCTCATGCGTGACGACACGTACACTGCGCACGCCGGGGCAAAGTTCCCCATCAAATGGACGGCTCCAGAGGGCCTTGCTTATAACAAATTCTCCACCAAGGTGGGCTTGACACTTGAGCTACAATATTCCATAATATTGTGGACCACAAAAAAAATTGTTTCCAAGTTTACTCACATTAATTATTTGACTTAAGGCTCTTTTATTTATGCTTCGTTTTTTTATTGAATTTTAGTCTCTCGTATTTACTTGGAAAGTTTATTTAGTGCTTCGAGACATATTGTTGGGTTGAACTGCAAAAAATTGCTGTGGTCAGAAACCGCTTCAAGGCAGCCATTTTTAAACTAGAATTTCATCGTAGGTCAAACTTGGTGACAGGTGCGTTTTTTGCACTTATAGACCGACGATGAAACCGTTTGTTCTGGGTTTTATTTTTAGAAAGTCCTTCAGCCTCTAACATGGCCAAATTCTATTGATTTAACATGAAGATGCATTTGCTTCCCGCTCTTCAAAACATTTGTTCTGAATAATTTGGATAACGTTCAATTATGAGGCATTCAAAGCTGGAGGAAATAATGGATTCATAATTATTCAAAGCATTAATTAATAGATTGTTTCACAATTCATCATAGGTTTCTACTTGGAAATAAAGGCTAAATAATTTGCTTGCTGATGACGTTCCTCTTTGTGTTCAGTCGGACGTTTGGGCATTCGGAGTGTTGCTGTGGGAGATAGCCACTTACGGCGTGTCTCCGTACCCTGGCGTGGACCTCACTAATGTGTACCATCTACTCGAGTCAGGGTGAGCAATAGTTAGTACGTTGTTTGTGATCATTTTTTTATTAGTTTTCGCTCTCCTCGCTGCTTGGACTTGGCTTGGTTCAGCAGTGTCCCAGTGGCTGGGGCTGTCATTACATTCAAGTATGACATTGCTTGCTCATTGCACCAACTATAATTACTGTTGTGTCAAGCCTAGGTCTTCCAATTAAATGCATTAGAGAGTTTTTTAAATGTAGGACTAGCGTGTTTTCAATAATACTCGCTATCTGTATAATAATTTTGTCCAGAGAACTCTATGTTAGTGATACCCAAATGAATCTTTCCAACAGTATTTTCCTTGTGAAAGCAAGTATTTCTTCTGCCAAACAAATTGAATATGGAAAATGCTTGCTGAAGTTCGATGCAATGGATGATTCCATATTGTTGCTTGAATGCGAGGTTGATCCGATGTTGCGCTATGTGCCCCTAGATATTGCACTATGTGCCCCAGATGTTGCACTATGTGCCCCAGATGTTGCACTATGTGCTCCATATATTGCACTATGTGCCCCAGATGTTGCACTATGTGCCCCAGATGTTGCACTATGTGCCCCAGATGTTGCACTATGTGCCCCAGATGTTGCACTATGTGATCCGATATCCGATGCCCCAGGTACCGCATGGACTGCCCCCAAGGCTGCCCTCCCACCATATACGAGCTCATGAAGCAGTGCTGGATGTGGAGTCCTGCCGACCGTCCTTCCTTCAGCCACATCCACCACGCACTCGAGACCATGTTTCAGGAGACTTCCATCACGGACGGTGAGGTCTCCCAGCCTTAGGTCTTAGTCTGGGGCCATACTTTCAAAACTCGCTAAGTGAACGTAAGTACTTACGCTCTATTTTCTTGTCTATGATTGGTGCATTTTGCTTGAAAGGCCGTCAATGATTGGCTGATGAACTGTCGATCTCTTAACTTTTTTTTTGAAAGTATAGGCCCAGGCCTCCTACTTTGTTTTATTACAGGAAAATTACGGGGAATACCTTAAGGTTAAGACGCAAGTGATGGGTAATTAGTGCAGCTGTGCTGTACTATTATCATTAGTATGGTTTAAGGTAATATAGTTATTATTAATTGTAATTTGTTGTTTAACATGAGGATTATCTAGGTAGTTTTACCCTCTGGTTCTTGATGCCGCGTGTAATATAGTTATTAATAATTCTAATTTATTGCTTAACATAAGCAATTATCTAGGTAGTTTTAGCCTCTGGTACTCCTATCATCTTTAGTATGGTTAAAGATAATATAGTTAATATTAATTGTAATATGATGTTTAACACAAGCAATTATCTAGCTAGTTTTAGCCTCTTGTTCTTGATGCCGCGTGTAATATAGTTATTAAGTAATGGCAGGAGTACAGCACCTGTGCACCGGTGTTGTACAGCAGGAAGCAGCCTGTGCCGTATGNATTAAAATAACTCTCATCAGCTATAAACTTTTAAATGCATTTCCGTTCAGTTCGTTTTGAGAAGTTACATTTAAAATGTAACCTGAGATAATCAATTATTACTTGCTTTGCCCGAATCAGCTTGAACATTTTCAAACATGGCATTCAATAACTCCGCTCATTGCGTCTCTCTACCTTTTAGATCAGTAGGATGTAATATTTTCGTGTAAAACTAAGAATGAAAGGTTAAAAGTACATCTGAGAATATTATCTTGCATAGTTTACATCAGTAGAATATAATATTTTCGTGTAAAACTAAGAATGAAAGGTAAGAGTACATTTGAGAATATTATATAGCATCGTTTACATCAGTAGGATGTAATATTTTCGTGTAAAACTAAGAATGAAAGGTAAGAGTACATCTGAGAATATTATCTTGCAACGTATTGTATAATGAAATTGTTATTATTATTTCATTATTATTATTATTATAATACATTATTGCGCAGCCGCAGCAACAGTAAAGGTGGCGACGAGAGCCCCACGCTGGGGCGCAGTGGTGAGCGCAGTGGAGGGTCGGGTGTGGTGACGCCCTCAGGTGGGGGTGGTGAGGTGGGCAAGAGTTCGGTGGTGCAGCTCAGGACGCGACCCACCAACAAGCGGGGCAAGCAGGCACCCGCCCCACCTAAACGCACCAGGTTCGTCCTACTCTCCATGACTGAGGCTGAAAACCTTGAGGTGTTAGTCTCGCTAACTTAATTGTTCATTGAGAAATTCTTCTCTCTGTATCTTGTACAATCATCTTCTTAGAGATCTTTATATCTGGGGCTATAAATAACTTCTTATTGTGTTTCTCCCTAGACTGTTTAAAATATACGTTATATATCAGTTTAGTTAGGCTAGTTTTTTCAATAAGATAACGTCGTTATAATGTCGCGCAGTTTCGGGGCGACAACCTAGAGGTGTTAGTCTCGCAAACTCAATTCTTCATTAAAAAATTCTTCTCTCTATCTTGTACAATTATCTTCTTAGAGATCTTAATATCTCTGGGGCTATAAATAACTTCTATTTGTGTTTAACCCTAGACTATTTTGTAAAATATATGTTACATATCGGTTAGTTAGGCTAGTTTTTGACAATTTTGGAATATCAATATGTTTTCCTGATATGTTAATATCAGTTTTGTTAGGCTAGTCTCTTCAATAAGATAACCCTTGTGTAGTCTTTTCAATAAGATAACCCTTGTAATACGTCGTTATTATGTCGCGCAGTTTCGGGGTTTGCTTCAGTTCGTTTCGAGAGAGCGGCGGCGGCAGCGACGGCACCCCTGAGATGTCGCCAGGTGGCCAGATGATGCACATGCCACCACACCATGGTGGGCAAGAGTTCGGTGGTGCAGCTCAGGACGCGACCCACCAACAAGCGGGGCAAGCAGGCACCCGCCCCACCTAAACGCACCAGGTTCGTCCAACTCTCCATCACTCAGGCTGAAAACCTGAAGTTGTTACATCAGTTACAGTTGTCTCGCTAACTCAATTCTTCTTTGAAAAATTCTTCTCTATCTTTTACAATTATCTTTATATCTGGGGCTATACATAACCTCTATTTGTGTCTCCCTAGACTATTTTGTAAAATATATGTGACATATCGGTTAAGTTAGGCTAGTTTTTTCAATTAAATAACCCTCGTGAACATCGACTATTTTGTAAAATATATGTTACATATCAGTTTAGTTAGGCTAGTTTTTTCAATAAGATAACGTCGGTATATTGTCGCGCAGTTTCGGGGTTTGCTTCAGTTCGTTTCGAGAGAGCGGCGGCGGAAGCGACGGCACCCCTGAGATGTCGCCAGGTAGCCAGATAATGCACATGCCACCACACCATCTGCAACATCATCTGCAGCAGCAACACCACCTGCAGCAGCATTCTCACCTCTTGCATGAAGACTCCCCAGAATTTAATGGTACTGATATGCCATTTTGATGCATCATGGATTTATTTCTTATTTTTAGCGCATTTTCTCATTTATGGAAAAATGCACTATTGTGCTCGCCATGTCCGTCTGTCCGTCCGTCCGTGACTTCACGTTTTCGTCGACGAGAAAATGCGCTCTCTGTCACTCACTGCAGTGAATACTGAGTTATATTTTATATATTGTATTGACATCAATTTTGGACGATTTAAATTAATTTTTCGTTGATGTTATTCATGGTAACTACTGTCTAGTTATGTATTAGTGAACAAATTATTACTATCTTAGAGTACCAATAATAAAAACAACTGCTAACTTTCATCTTATTATCATTTTGAATGTCATGATGGCATTTAAAATGACATGTTACCTATTTTTAATGCATGTTGTATAAAGATGGATTCCCTGTTATAAATAAACTTAACCTAATTTTAGCAGGAAATAAACCTAACCTAACCTAAGGCAGTTCGTATTAGTTGTAGCTGCTGAAGGCCAGCAAGCTTACCTTACAGGGAAACAAACCGGCGCGAGTAGCAGCGATTAAAAACCATCAATCTATTGGCGTATTAACTCTTCTTTATCATAGATTACAATGTTGTAGCACGATATTTATTACGGTTAGTTCCTACATCGAAATTTTGAGTAAAAATATCTTCCTAATCGAAAATAACCAACTATAAAGAAGTTCTAGTAGAATGTAGATGAACTATTCCTCAACTGAGCTCTTTCAGTATCAGATCAATAATTTAGAAATGTTCATTAAAATCGCTCAAACATGTTGGCGTTGGCTCCATGCGACCTGCAGTGCAGCCTCTGATTGGTTTCGTGCCTCTGTCATTTGCCGCCGATGCTTCTATGAAGTTGTTAAATAGCGATGCACGAGTGAATAAACAGAACTCGTGTATTTAATTTGTTTTATGTGCTCTCAGTGATGAATCGTGCGATCAACGTTTTTTATAGAAGGCTCTTAATAGTTAGTTTAATTATCGCAGTGTAAGAAGTTTAAAAACGCGTCCGATTTCCTGCTTAATTGACTTCGATAAGCAAGCGACTAGATTAAACTTCGCACAGCTCACACCCGTGACAAGAATAGGGTTAAACGGATACCTCAGGATGGACGCTTTCCCGCTTAACTATGCTTTGTATGCTCTGTATACCTGAACGATCAGTGAACTTTCTGTGAGGATCCCGGTAGCAAGCAAAACAACCTCTTTGAACTCGATGGTGTTATCTTCTGATGCTTCTTGTTTTGACAGGAAATTCAAGTGGTTATCAATAGTTAATGGTGCGTAGTTGACAGAGGAAATTAAAGTTTTTGTTAATGGTGCGTAGAACTCACAAAGATATTAGCATCACAGATTTTACCAAATCAGGAGGTCCAAGTGATCTGGATTTTTTTATGGCGAGCAAGTTGGAGCTCGGCAGAGTTCTGCATGTGGCTGTGCCGATGATTTGCTTCTCACAGTAAATGCTGTGCCGCTTTTTGTCCTCGTAAGTGAAAAAATTTAAGAGCCATACACCAACTAAACTAAACAATATATCGTCTTAGAACTGCCATACCATCTCAGTAACTTCAGAATAACACCCATCCAGCATATTAAAAATGCATGAGACTCAAGTGTATGGCCCACTCGATGATCTCAAATTCTTCACTTTCAAGCTTTCCGCTGAGGTGTAGATTTGATCACCGATGCTGAGAATATACAAATATTTCTGCCCAGCTGCTGCTATAAATTCTTAGGTTTCTCCACAAGGGCACAAATTGCAAGCAATCGCCCTATATCCCAAGTGCTCTGAAAATTCCTACTGTCTGGGAAGAGATCGTGATATTCAAATTCTGCTGTGTGTCGCATTAGGCACACTCATGAAATTGCTCATATAGCAAGCCTTCTCAAGAAACCTTATTGCTTCTATTCTAGCGGAAAATGGCAAAAGTTGCTTTTATGCTATCTCTCTGTGCTGGAGAATGATGAATATATAACCTGAGACGAGGTATACAATAACCGTACCTTATATTTTGAGCTGCAAAATAAGGGGCTTACTGTAGCCCAGAGATTTGATAATTGCGAGGCATCCTCTCAGAGCTGAGCGCCTATGCACCAAGACGCAGTGCCTACCGACCCATGCGTTTCCGAGTCAGTGGAATAGTTTACCGTGATGAAGCTGATGGGTAAGCAAGTATGTCCAACAAAGCGGTAGAGCCTGGTTCGTGTTGACTGCGATTCTCGAGACGAGTTATTATCCTATGGTAACTGATTCATATCAAGAACATTATACCGCATGAGAACGTGTTGCTTGTTAGGCCGGTCTCCCGGTAAAGGTTTGATAGCTATCATTGCGTTTTAAATTTTTTGTTAACGTTACAATCTTTTACTTGTTAAGTATCTTTTATTAGCAAGGTCTTGTTCTTTTTTTATTATTAACAATCCCTCGACACTAGGTTTAAATCTTTTGTGTTTACGTTACAATCTTCTACTTATATAATATCTTTTATTAGCAAGGTCCTGTTCTTATTTTTATTATTAACAATCACTTTACATGAGGTAGCTTGATCTGAAGCGTTATGAGGACCTCTCAAGCATCTCATTGTATTGTTCGATTCCTGTATTTTTAGCGTATTTTCTCATTTATGGAAAAATGCACTATTGTGCTCGCCATGTCCGTCTGTCTGTCTGTCCATCCGTGACCTCAAATTTTCGTCGACGAGAAAATGCGCTCCCTCAAGTTTTCGTCGACGAGAAAATACGCACTTTATCACTCACTGCAGTGAGTACTGAGTTATATCTTTTTGTTCATGCAAGTAATGGGTTGATCGTTGACAGGAGTGCAGCGCGACGGGGTAGACCTGGCGTCGAGCAATGACGCTGAGAGCGAAGGAGGTGGCGGGGGTGTGGCCGACAACAACACTCCTGACACCGACGACTCCAGAGGGGGTCTACAGTTCCCTCGTAGGGGCGACACTGCTCATTCATCCTTCAAGTAACTCCATTTATTATGACAGCAGTTAACAATAGTGCTGAAGTGACGTTTTTGGTGAATTTCATCCAATAAACAACACCCCTGACACTGACGACTCCAGAGGGGGTCTACAGTTCCCTCGTAGGGGCGACACTGCTCATTCATCCTTCAAGTAACTCGACATTTATTATGACAGCAGTTAACAATGTAGCTGAAAAGACGGTTTTGGTGAATTTCATCCAATAAGCTCGTCGTTTCAATTGCTTCAGTACAGATGTTCAGCCCTCCAAGTATGCAATCTCGAGAACTGCACATTTCAATTAATGATACTTTCGTAGTCAAATTGTGAAAAGAATTGATGCGTTATATTTATTAGGTCTCTAACTAACTAATAGCAGTAGTCAGGTGTTGACAAGGTCTCCTCATCATGGCATTTTTCCATGACAGAGATAAACCTGCCTACTGACCTGTAATATCTTATGCCTCATGAGCCATACTATCTAGAATAGCGTAGAGATCATAAGTTCGACCGCCAATCACAGACGAGAGATCGACCGCTACGTGTACTCAAGTCTACTCGCTCATATATTTCAGACTTAAAATTTCGCTACACATTTCCTGTTTACTGCAATATTAGACAGCATTTTTCATTTCTCTGAAGCATTCCAAACAATTCTAGGTTCTGCTAAGAGGTACTTTGTATGTGTACGGATAACCAGGATTCTCTGTGGTTCCTGTTATATATTTTTAATGGCAAACTATCAAATGAAAAATATTTAACACTTCGCAAAGACGGCCTCGCCTGTGGTGCCATATATTTTTAATAATTGTTATTCCACTGCTGAGATGGCTGAAGATTAAACTACTTACATGTGTGCAGTCGCGGTGTTGTACGCACGAGCAGCGGCGGCAGCGGCAGACGCAGCAAGCAAGACAAGGCAGACCCTCACGGCAGCGGCCGTACCGTCACCGTAGCGACGCTCGAGGTGCACAACGTGCGTCGTGCTATTACCAGGTTTGTAGTCCACTTATTCTCAACTAACGTTTGTTTTTTCTATTCGAATGCGTCTTTTTGGAGCGCGGTCCATGTTATAGCCTTCTCAGACTGCTTATTTAATATGACGCACGTCAATTGTTGTCTCAGGCTCATCGGTGTCCTATTTCCAGCTCCTGGATTATTTCTGCCACCCACGCAAGTTTTTCCTTTGATATAGCAGAACTTTTCTCTTTTTCGTTTCTTTTTTTCAAGTGTTTATTTTTATTTCGTCATTGCACCTATATAAATTAGTAAGTTTTAAAATTGTTGAAAATTTTTCAGTAAAAGATTTTATTGCATTCAAGGTACGGCACCCTGCCAAAAAATGCTCGTATTGGCGCTTACTTGGAGAGCCTGCGCAAGAGCGGCCTGCAGCACGGGGTGGTTCCTTCGAACGACGACTCTATGCTCCCCGACCACCCCACCTACGAGTATGAGGCCCACCCTAGTGCCATGCCAGAACCCATGCTGCACTACCAACAGTATTCTGCTCCAGGCCACGACTCCAAGAAGGACCCATTTTCTGTAGCCATGATTCGCAGTAACTCAACGCAAGGCAGTTTTGTCCCGCAGAGTCCTCTGCTCAGTAGACTTAGTCCTCGTGGTAGCGTGCAACAAAGGAGTGATCGAGACCGCAGAGGTCACATCAAAGACTTCTCTTCCATTGCTGTCAACCACCACACACCCATCACTCATTTAGAGTTCCCTCCACCTCCCAGTGATTTGCCTCCCCCTCCTGATGATTTCTTGGAAGACATCAACGCTTCAGGGTATTCATTGGAGTTTCCTCCGCCACCTTCATCAGATTTGCTTCCGGCTTCGCCAGAACATCGTCGAAAATTCCACTCAGGCAGACCTTTGCCGTCGCCGCGGTCTCGACGCAAGGATCCCCCTGCGTCTGCACACCGCTCATCAAATCGCACTGACCGATCTGAATATGACGTCACAACATGGAAAGTGGATGACACAGTACCATCTCCACAGCCGGAACGTGCGCCCTTCTCAGTCACGCGTCGCAGGTTGAAAGACTCCGAAGGCAAACGGCCTCCGGTAAAAGCTAAGCCCCAAATAGATGCTGCACCGGACGGGACCGATACTAGTGACGGTAGCCCAGCGTTGAGGTTTGGTGTTAATCTCCGACACCGAGATCAGAGTTCAGATTCTTGTGACAGCATCAAGTCGTGCGAAAATTTGTCTCCTAGATCTGCCCTACAAGGTTCTAAATCTAATTGGTCTTTGACTCGAAGTCCGGGTTCCTCTTCCGCCGAAACAATCGACACTCCCCCGTCTCCTTCTGGCTATGTTGGGAATAGTGCAGAAACTCCCTCCACAGTCACGGGAACACAACACCATTCTGCATCGAATGGTAAGAATAAGAACGCCACAACTGCTTCTCAGTCAGTATCTTCCCGGGAAAACTTGGACACAGACGAGTCAGCGCCTGATACGACTCAGGCTGGCCAGCTCGTTTCAGAACTTTTTGAGAGCTTGCGGCAAAAAACTGGACCTCCTCCACCGGATAACGGTAATGTGAAGCCAATTTCTTCAGTTACTGACGGCAATCTTAATTCGGTCAAAGATAAAGCGGCCTCTGATCCGCCTGCACCCTTTGCATCTAATCTTAAAAAGAGTAAGCAGGCTTGTCCTGAGAGAACTGAAAATGCTGCTAATCAACCAAGTATCGATTTCAAGTCGAAACTTAGAAAAACTGAAGTGAGCAAGTCAGGGCCTGAACCAACAGCAGCAGCTGAGGGAGACTCGCACATCGTTGATTTTCGGTCTCAACTTCGTCGAACCCACGTAACCAAAGAGGAGAATGGCGACTGCAAGGATTCCAATGCCATTGACGAAGATCCGCAACAACCACTTTGCCATACGAACAACGTCAACTATTCTAGTCAAGTTCACGAGGATGAGATGAACAAGAAAAACTGCTACGAAGACAATGTTCACCGAAACAGCATTGATGGCTCTTCAGACAAACGCGACAGCGGTAATTCCGACTCGCTTAAAGCTGACGACGATCCCAAGCGTTTCAGCTCTAGTAGCATAAGTAACCTAAAGAAGCTGTGGGAGAAGCAAGAAGAAGAGAAGGAGGGTACCTCCTCAACCAAACAAGATGCCAATCAAACTAGTCCTAAGTATGCGCCCAGCTTCTATCAGAAGCCTGAATTCCCCAAAGAAAAAGACCAAGCAACTTCCTTGAAGGTAAGCCCTGATGGAGAAAAGGTTGGTAAACTTGAAAGACGAGTTTGGCCGCCTCCTATGGATGGCAAACCTACTGTCCCTACTAAACCCAGCGTAAAAAATCTACGGCCGCCGCCACCTTCCGGCGGTGGTATAAAATTGCCACCCCCTAAGCCAGGTGGTATTTATGCCACCCCGTCCTTCGTGAAGCAGTCTTCAGCCTCGTCTAAAAAGGACAAGGATGGAACAAAAATGTCCAGATCATGCATTGAATTTAATAAGCCTAAAAGCCAGAAGAACGCAGATCCATCAAAGGATTCCTATGGTGGTAAATCTAAGCATTCGTCTACAAAAATTTCAAAGTTGACCCACCGAACTGATAGCTATGAAAGTAACGGCAATGGGTCGGACAGCAATGGCGATGGCAGCTCCACGGACCGCACTAAAATGATGGAAGAAACTCGTAAAGTGGAAGACGCCGTCACGAAAACCCTCTGCCCGGGTGCACCTCTTTCGTCAAGCGCCTGCATTCAATTAGTGCTGCAGCTGGAACAATTCCAGATGTGGTGCAGCAGCTATGTGGACCACATGCCTCCTCAGAACAGATTTCAGCTTTTAGAAATGCTGGGTAGACTTGACAATGAAGTGCGACAGATGAGAGTTAAAGGTGGCAGTCGTTCCCCGGATCATGCCGCGTCCGCGGGTCAAGTATACGCGTCTTCTAAAGGCGCCAACGGCTCGAGCTCGCAGTTCCCTCAACTTGTCGCCACCGTCAAAGATATTTGTGCCACTCTTAGACGATAAAGTCTTTGGTATGGTTTTAAGTGCTGCCGTCTTTTGGATTTTCAGCCTTATATATTAGTGGCTTTTGCTATTTATTTTGTGGCATATGTGTGAATTTTACGGTTATCTACAGCTATTAAGTGTACGTCGCAACATACGTCACGTGTTCCAGTTCTTCTAGTAAGAGAACGTATTGCACGTCTGCTTTTTGAGACAAGCGCCAATACGTTTCGATATCGACCTTTAGCTGCTAATTTTTAGGCCAAGAAGTTCAGTGTGGCTGGAATGGATTTTTTCATCATTTTATCTATGGTATTTAAGTAAGCAAAGAAAGTGTTCATTGTATGCTCGTAAGGCGCTATTGAGATGATGGTTTTGTTGAAGTTCGAGGTATTTTTAGGCCTGTAGTAACTTATTGAGTTCAGGTGCAATGGTACTAGCTAGTTACTTGATATAGTGAATTTAGTAGGAGTTTCTGTGATATTCTCACTAAATTCATTCCTCACGAAGCTCTAATGCATTTGTTATTTTATGAAAACTTGTCTGCTTGCGTTAGTGTGGGTGCTCTCTTTTTATTACATTTTTATAGCTTCCGTGCAAGGTTTAGATGGTTGCATGTATTAACTGTTTCGGTGTAAATGCTCGCACTGGCTTTCTCGTGTACAGTTTCCGTCTCTACTCAGCTGTAGCAACATAGTCCGTCTGGTCATCGTTTTTATCTTTAAACGTACGAAGGCCATCATGCTTAATGGATCGCTGGAGTGTCATTGACTTACCAAGCAGACGCCGTCGTGATGTCCCGCGACTGCAAACGAAACGAAACTTATTAAAAGATAACCTAGAGATAAACCACAGTTGTAATCTGCTGTGGATTCCTGCCAACTCTTTGTTTCGTGAGATCTCGGGAGGTCACTACAGGAGTTTTAATATCTGATCTGTTATTTGAGAAAAGGTTTTCTATGAGCGATTAAAAAGCCAGGGATTTCCTGTGCCTGAATAGTTTTCGGTGATTTTTTTTGTTCGCACACAAAAGATTGGGCCGAAAGTTCTGTGATTGGATCGCGCGTCAGTTGTCTTTAGCCATTTTTGTTTCCTGCGATTTTCAGTATCTAATCCTGATATTTTCTCAGGTTCCAAGATGAATATTATTTATGAAAATTACTAAATTGAACTGAATAATAGTTATAAAATTAAGTTCTAGTCTTTGCTATATTGCATGCTTTCTAGGCATTTGTTACGCGCCGGGGCAATAAATTGATCACGAATGTTCATACAAGTTTGACCCTGTCTGCAATATATGCTATTATGAATCAATCGAATTTTTTAGTTCATTTGTTAGTCATTTTAATATTAGGAAAACTAAGAATTTTCTTGTAACCAAGTTGTGTTCGGCCGTTATCTGCTCTATTTTCGAGAATAAAAATATACACGGTCGGTTCACTATATTATTAATTAACGGATAAATTTGAAATTTTGCTCATTGCTGTGCACGTGCGTTAAGAGTCGCATTTTGTTTGGATTTCAGAAGGAGTCAAAAATTATTATTTTAATATTGTTTTTTAGGAAGCGTCTCGATGGCCCATGTCAGCAGCTGTCACGGGAAGGATAAATTTTGTCAAATAAATGCTCTTGGCAACAATGAAAATAGAGAATAATCCATGGTGGTCAATAATGCATGTTGGTTTTGATGTTCAAGCCTGCAAAATACGCGGTCCTACTTCAGAATTTATTCAAAAAATGGCTATTCAGTAAAAATTTGAGCCAGTGCTGGTGTGATGAAGACATTTTAGACTATTCTCTTCACTTGTTTATGAATATTACATTCTTGTTCCGTCTTTCATTAGGCGCAATTTTTTACATACATTCATTTCTTTCAGTGCTTTTGATTGACGAAAGCGTTGTGCCAACAGTATTATTATCATTGTTGTTGTTTGATGACATCGTCTTCTGTGCCGTTGCTTAGTATAGAAATAACGTCTCTTTTTACCTTCACTTGTATCGTACTCTTTATATTACTGCGCTGTCAGCTCTTGTAGCCCCCACAACGAATCTATCTTTCGGTGAATAATTTTGTTTTGAAGTTTTATTTTTAGAAGAGCAAAAATTTTTAATTCTTGCTCTTCTCAGGTCGCTTCTTGACGCCAGTCGTCTTTCGCTATTCCATTGTGTTCCACGTCGATCCTCCTGATGGTCTAAGTGATTGGTAGAATAATGTTTGTTTCTTTCAACAGTAATTTTTTCACTAAGGAGTCAAATGCCAATAAAAAATAAAATTTTTATTCTTATTTCATGCGAGAGATTCTTACTTCGCCTCATCGCGTCTTGCATTACAAGCCGTAAAAGTATTAACTTTTCATCGCCCTCGTCCTAGTAATTTCCAACAGGCAGATCATTAACTTGTCATGTTTCTTGTTCCTGCTTATCCAACTGTTTTCTTTTTTCTATCCTTCACACTGTCTCCGTTATTGCCCAGGGGCCGTATTATCAAAACTTCGTAAGTACGCAAAATCGACTTAAGAGTGGCGTTGCTATGACAACGTAATACTAACAGTGGTATTATAAAAACATTTGCGCGGGAAAAAAATTTAGGCTTTTAGCTAAGACTTGCGTACGAAAGTTTTGATAATGCCAAAATTAGGGTGTATTTACGTACCACAGAACTTTTTTGTCGTAAGTACAAAAAGTTACGAAGTTTTGATAATCCGGCCCCAGGCGTAAATTAGTCTCGACTGCCCTGCACTAATGTTGTTTTCATTGGCACGTTCCTTATAGATTTGTCTTGTCACCTTAAAGATTTGTCTAATGGTTCTCTAAACTCTTACACCTCACGGTGGCAATCCTTCAATTTGCTCCAATGTTTTTTCTTGCTCCCCTCAGATTTATCTTAATCTTGACCTGACCTTTCTCCAGACGAATTTTATTCGTTGTTTTAAAATTTTTCTCTTTCATTCGTGTAAAACGTAAAATTTGGTTCCATCGTCAATTTTGGTTTGTATTACGATTTCAAAAGTTCAGATTACACGCGGAAGTTCATCCTGTCAAACTCCAGGTTTAAGGAAGAGTTACCATTAGATATTGTTCAATTGAAAGCAATCGTGTATAGTTGAGTCAAAGAAAGAATTGCATGATGTTTCACGACCGTTCCGCTTATCATTAGATTTTGTTCAATTGCTCAATTCAATTGAAAGCAATCGTGTATAGTTTGCATGATGTTTCACGACCGTTTCGCTTTTTCATCTCTATCCAAAAGTATATTACTAACATTAAAGCATTTACTTCATATCTTATGAGATGTTGATAACTGAACAACGAACTTATCTGAGCTTCTTTTATAAGCTTCGTTTGAGTTGAGGTGTTCCCTTACTTTTTTTAGGCTTTCCCTATCCCGTTTTTATATCAGGTTTCGAAGACGTATTTTATTCCCAGTAGTTGATTGCATATACGGGAACCACGCTAATATTTGTAAAATAAACCATGCTATTGCGCGGTTGCGTTCTGTTTCATGTCTTTAATTGAACGGAATCAAATTTTTCCGCTGCTACAAAAAGTGCTCGCCTGATCAGTAGTTTAACGATCCATCAAATCACTATTTCAAATCCGTATTTTCCGATTGTTTATTCAAATTCAGACCATTTCTGAGAGTTATTTATTATATTTACCCCCATAGTGTTTGCAACTGCTCAAATGCAAGGCACTTCTGCCTACAAATTTATTATTATGCTTTCAACCTGTCAAGCTTTTATTAGACATAAATGCTAATTTTATTTGTGCAGCCAGATGTAGTTAGGCTCTCTAGGTGTAGTTAGGTTCGCTAGGTGTAGTTCCTTCGTGGTTCAATGAACATTAATGTCCGCAAATGAAGTTCGATTATGAAAACCCAATCTAAATTCTTGCAAAAAATAGGCGAATGCTGCATGCTAAATTTACTTTTCTTAGCTGACAAAAGTTGATAAATAAACTTTAACTTATGTATAAGTTTTTTTCTGACTTGACGTTATCTTGCGTTATCAATGCTTTTAATTTAACCATTTTAGCTTAAGGAAATAACTTTCGAGTGTCGTCACTGGTGGGCGACTATACGCCAATTAAGGCAATAGTTGAACTTGATGAAATAATGGACTGTACTCTTCTTAATGTAATAATGGACTCTGTTATTCATTCGTTCTGTGTTGGATCAAAACCAAATAGCACGAGCTTCAGGCGCATAAATTTAAACGTACTTGGACTTGTCGTTTCTTGGTACTCGTATCGTCTTAATATTGAAAGGAAAGCCAAAGGATATTTTGTTGAAAAAGTCGAGGTTCTTAAAAATATTGAAGTCTCATTGACCAATGGCTGCTAATTAAGATGTAGTATTTATTTACTAATATTTATGTCAAACAAAATTGAGAACAATTCTCTGAATTGTTCTCATTGTTTTCCATGAGAATAGAATAAGTATTTTGATTTAGTTCAGCACTCGCACGTTGCTACTCAACGTACACGAGTGTTGCGAGCAGCTCCATAGTTATTAATTTAAGATCGTCTAGTCTTGGGCGGCTACATCTGGAGGTCCTCTACTTATCTCAGTCGTTAGTATTCGTAGTTGTAGTTTCGTTTTCAGCAGGGCCTATACTTTCAAAAAAAGTCAAGAGATCGTAAGTTCATCAGCCAATCATTGACGGCCTTTCAAGCAAAATCCTCCAATCACAGACAAGAAAATAGAGCGTAAGTATTTACGTGCACTATACTTTCAAAAAAAGTTAAGAGATCGTAAGTTCATCAGCCAATCATTGACGGATTTTCAAGCAAAATCCACCAATCATAGATAAGAAAATAGAGCATAAGTACTTACGTTCACTTACCGAGTTTTGAAAGTATGGCCCCTGAAACGCAATTTGGGGGATGGTGCTGGTTATTCTCTGTACGTTTTCTTGCCAGAGTTGTTTCCTATTTTTCCTTTGTACAGACGCTAAAAATGTTTGTTGATTAGTTGCTAATACTTGGAACGTTGTATTGGAGTATTTCTTTCTTGTGGACGTTCGAAAGCGTGTTTCGTTTTCCATTTATTAATCAAGGTCCCTTCTGTGTATCTTTCTTTCTGTTTGGATCCTCGTGCGTGAGATGAAGAAACATCAAGACGATTCATTCTCATACCTCTCAATCTCAATCAAGTGTCGATGATGATATTTTTTATATTTTCTGATTAGAAATTATGTCGTCTCATTCTTTCTCGTTAAAATTGTGAGCAAATCCGTGGTAGCTGTAACGTTTAGCGTTAGATGCGGTCAAGCCATTATTGAGCTCTTGGTAAACGAAGTCGTGCTTATGGTACACTGTTAGAAAAAACGGTGAAAAAACGGTCCCACCGGCATCCTAGTGGCCGGTCGCCCCGTTAAAATAAACTGTTTCGCCGTTTTTATCAGATGTTTTACGGATTTCTGGTGTTAAATTGGAATAAAAACGGTGAAACGGTGTTTCTTTTCACATGCCGCCCGACCACTGAAACGCCGGTATTACCGGTAACGGTCATTTTTCTAACAGTGTGGGGCAATACGATGCTTGTGAAATTCGCTGTACGATTCATGTTTTATTTAATCTTATGTATACTTCTGTATCTTGCCATAGCAATTACTTAGCTGAAAGGTTCTACTATATTTTACCAGCATTAATACGCTTACTTGTGACGCATAAGCCACGTTTGATTTTTTAAACAATCTAAGCTTAATTTAGATTTTGAACGTGATTTTTAAGATGCATTTTTTAAATTGTCTTTTTCTTGAAAGAAAAGAATCCATGTCCTGGTTCTATTGCTATTATTTCCTACTTTTGACACATTTTTCTGTGCTCTTTGCAGTGCATAGAGGAGTTAATTCATGGTTGAATTAATAATAATTAATTCAACCATAAGTTAATTGATCTTAAATGTACTCAAGGCGGAGGTCATTTTTAATACCGGTTCCGCTTTCCTCGCTGCCGGTCTGGCTTAATGCTCTACCGTTCACATATACTCATAATTTTTAGATTTTGTCTTGTCTGGTGTCATATTGTTACAATTATTCAATCTCTGATAGAATTGTTAGTTTTAATTGCATTTCCGTTTAATACCAAATGGCAGGAACCCAAGGGACCATTTATGCAACTATGTTCTTCTCAAAATTTAGGCATTTTCCTACTTTTCCCTCAATAGAAATGAGGAATCGCATATTTTTCGTGTCGTAAAGAAGCGGTACCGTGTAATCATTTGAATTTTACGTGTGGTTTTTCCTGTATTAATTAGTTGACGCAGAACTGTGCGAAGACTTTCGTTCACTTCCCTGGTTTCGAAGTAGTTCTTTTGTGGCCCACGGTTTTGAGGTTTTAACGAACAAATATTACGGAATTTGGGCGATTTCGTTTTAATTCTTGCGATGAGAGGCGTTTCATTTCCCAGACTCTAAAATATGGTCTCTAATGTTCTTTCTTTTGCAGATTTTTCGATAAGAAGATGATTTACGAGGATGATTTTGAAATTTTCCTAGATGTTTTATTAAATATTTTGATTTAGTAACTTTATACTTATGGTCATTTTTGAAGTACGAAAGTTAGTCCTGCACCATCTGGCAGCAAATTAGTATTTTGAAATTTTTATCTTCAACTTGCCATTTTATCGACTAGAATCTTCTATGCGACCGAGAAGCAACATTCTTTGAAATGTTTTACGTGCATATATTCTGTTATTTGAATTTCTCGTATCTATTAATTATTTATAGGCGTCTATAATATTGATTTTATGCATATTTATATAAAATATTTTGAGTTTACGCATGTTTATAGATGGTTTTCATGCTGCAACGTCATGTGTCACTCTTATCTCAAGCGAGGTCTGCTCCCAGTCACAAAGAAAGGCTGTGCTTCTCTGAATTGTTCTCATTGTTCTCCATGAGAATAGAATAATTGAAGACATTGTGTGTGTTATGTTTATGCGTTTTTTTGGCATCGTGCTTGAAAAAAATGTTCCACCGATAAACTTGTACGATCAGTAGAAAGTTCAGATGATATTTGAACTTTCTCGTGTGTACTATGCATCCAACTTGAATCGTATTCAATATTTTTAACGTACACCTTATTGGGTTTGGGCTTTTCATGTTGTGTTCTGGGTAAAAGAAAGTACTTTGATGTCACGTCACTCGTGAGCCATCGCTCACTAAATTCATCACTCGTCCTGCCTCCGCACGCGCGTCGTCAGCTGAGTGAACTGCCACAAGACGTGAAAAAAAAACCTCCCGCAAGATATTAAATTTCCAGGCAGATCTCTTAGGCATTTATCATGTTCTGAATCTTGTCCGCTTGCTTCTTTTTTAAGAGTTAGATGGGAGCGTGAGAGAAGGATGTGTCGTATTAGTGATAGATTATATTTAAGCGTTTTGTACATACCATTGATAACGCGTTCCGAAGTGTAAAATAAAACCAAACTATTACATGGACGCCTTTCTTTTTCAAATCTATAATTTTGAAGCAATGCCCTCGGTTCCCTGGATCATCAAGATGAACCTTGCTTAGCGATGCGTCGCATTCGTGTGTCATTGTTCCGATCTGTGATTGCATCACCGCTTTATTAATGGACAACGAAACGGAAATGATGGCTATACTTGATATTCTATAAGGTATAATTTCGCTCATCGATTAGTTTTCACCTCTACGGCATAAATGTTCCAGGTTAGGGAAATTGTCAAAAGACTTCATCAACATCTTATTTATTAGGCAAGTTGAGGCGACATGTATCAAATTACCTACGAACAACTCTAGCATTTTATGCTATCAGTAGAAAACTCAATGTTCAATCCCTTCATGGAAGGAATCGTTGATCAGAGTCTCCGATGCATTATCACACAACGATACGTAAAATGTAGGTCATCCTAAATGCACAATTTATCATTAAATTTGCATTAAAATTATCAATTCAATTTGTTCTCATACGGACAAGAGTATTGTGAATTACGTTCAGATATCAACGACTGTTAAAGCCGGCTTTCCCGTAGTGTAGTACGCTAATCATATGTACGCGAACACTTTGGGGATCATAAACGATCAGTTATTCTTAAACGATCAGTTATTCTTCACGAAAAAATTCGACTGGCTGCTCGGTTTCTCTGACATTTACGACATTCGTTGCACGGGATAGGTTAACATCCGGCACAACGAAACTTTTTGTGAAATGTCAGTTGAGTACCAAGTAATATTTTGCCAAATCTTTTTACGTAAATTGCATCTTATTTCACTAGTCTTATTTGCAGGGATTGAGCCGCCGCTAGCTCTCGACTCCACATCCAAAACAGCGACGTTGGAAATTAATATGAATTAAACTATAATTACAATCGTCGAGTCCAAGGATTCATTTCATCTACAGGGATCGTTTCCACATTAAATGGAGAGTATTTATGAGTGTAGACAGCAGAGCATGAAACTCCCGTACCAACTGCTGCCATGATGATTGCCAAACAAGGGGTCTTAAAATGCCCAGCAAATTACGGACCAGGCAATAAGTCCAGACGAAGCTATGCAGGAGCATATGTTCAGTCTTAAAATGCCTAGAAAATTACGGACCAGGCAATAAGTCCAGCAGCTATCTCAATCAATCGTTAGCTATGGAAAGATCGGGTTCCAAAGGCCTTCTATTCTATTCTATTCTAAACAAGGCGCCACAAGCCACCAACCACATAGTTTAAGCCACGCCCACCTTAGAGGCGAGTCCTGTAATCGTGCGTTCATAACGCTGTATGGGCGCCTACAAACATGATATATTCACAGCCAGTATTTACAGATACGGATGAACTTTACATCAGGTATTAATGATAAAGGCCAGTGTTTGATAACTTAGTGAACTAATATTAAACCTAATTATCTGTCTAAATTGCACGCATAATATAATGTAATTATCAATATAGGTACTAATAGACACATCTCTTGTAGAACTAAATTTTTATAAACAATTTTAATAAAGTCTCTAAAAAAGAATTTGATTCCATAATTGTTGGCATGCAATAAAGAGTTCCCTACCATATTCCTAGGGAGTATATTGCCATAATAATTTTCCTGTAACACAACGCAAGTCAACTTATTCATAAATTTATAGCTTTAGTGATGATCCATTTGGGTAGAGGAAGAAATATCTTGTAACGGAAAATTCAGAAATGTGACATTGATGATCATCAATGCTAAATGAAATATACCGTATTGATTTTCGAAAGTCAGAATTATCATATAAATATTATCAATGTATTCAGGTTTTTATATCATATCGGCAATATAAACACGAGACTAGAAACATTATACGAATCTAAACATTGTTCTTCACATGAGCCTTCAACAACTACAACATAATATTAATTACCGTTGATCACAATTATTATCGAAGCCAACCACGAAGTCTGGTTGGATGTATTTTCATGCTTTAAAAATGTGATGAAACTATAACCCCTTCCACTTTCCAATCCTTAAATAATTCATTTTTAGAACTTAAGTGAGTCAGAGAGAGAAACAGGAGTTTTGATAAAAATCTGATGAAATGTCGTCTGGGAATAAATAGATAAGGTGACTAAAGATTCGAGACCCCAAATTTCTCCGTAGATGTTTTTTCAGGACGTTTCAAATAATAAATATAGAAATAAAATCAAATATTTAAATATTTCATCCCTATGATGATAGAATGCCTCAGGTAAGAAGCCTTTGTTTTCCAAGAAGGCTTTCTTTTAATTGTTCACTGGAAGGCGAAAAGTAGGATTATGAATGGAACCATCAAAATAAAAATTAAATAAACTGCAACTCTTGGCTGACATACGGCCTGCACTTCAAATTTTTTAACGGAACTAAAAACTTCTTCACTGCTTGAATAGTCTGGCTCTGCCATCTCGATTACAACAGCTTCGGATCCGAGAAAAGACAATGGAAACGCACACTCAGATGTACTATTACAAAAGTCTTCATAGTCCGAAACTTTGTACATTACTCTACTCACTTGTAAGTAATATTTCATCAAGTTCATTTCTATACTGTTGTCGGATAAGAATATGAAGTAGTAATCATCTGTGGAATTTATCTTGAATCTCCATTTAGGATTAACGCTTAAATCTTTGGAAGAACAGTTAAATGTTCTTTGAATGTCAGCGTAAATGATAGTGTCTGTGCATTTTGCCATGAACTCTTCACTGCTGGAGTGCGAAGAATTCCCTGCAGTCACATCGACAGTATCGACAACGCTGTGTAACAGCTCAAGTTTTGCCTTCTCGTCCAATTCGTCTATGGCGTCTGACGTTCTTGAGTGTTCCCCGGAAGACGTAACTGCTCTCACTGATCTCAAGAGCCGGACTGTTGCGTCTCCATCATCGAAATCGTCAATTATGTGCTCTTCTTCTTCAACTTTCTTATTCGATATATTTAGCGGCATCGATTGTTCGTGTTTTTCAGAATTGCTTGAGTTGAATGAAACTGATACTGTAGACGAACGAATATCAGTTTGCGCTACCGGCGTAGATTGTCTCGTGGTGCTGGACTCACTCGGTGAAGCAACTTCAGGTTCATCCGCTCTCACTGAGGATATTTTCTCAACGCTCGTGGTTCTTCTAGTCGAGAAAGTATAAGGTGGAGAAACATCCAGAAGTCGTATTGTAGTAGCTTCTACCTTGCGGCCACTGTGATCCAGCACCCATGTTTCATCGTTATCATAGAGCGTGCCACCAAGTTTCTCTTCATCAAAAATTTCTCTCGCATCGGCCTCGTCATCATCGTCGCTGACAACGTCCGAGATTCCTATAGGAAGCGCGGGCTCAACTGGTGGCTTCGCCTTTGACGTGTCCGAAGGAGGGAACTTGGGGTTTACTTTCACGTGGTCATCTCCGTTGACTGCTTGTTCAGGGGTAACTTTGGCAGGCTTGCCGTGCTGAGTCTTGTCAGGTAGCAAGTCATCCCAGTCTTTAACTTCTTCATAGAAACATTTTTTGAGATTTTTCTCACCCCGGACGACAATGATAACACCTCCATCCCATCTGTTGAAATCATCACTTTTAGAATAATAATTTGACACGATGACTTCAAAAATTTCATTCAAACCTACAAACCTACGAATGAATTAACAAATACCCATGTGGCGCAAAAAAATTTCATTAAGTACCAAGATTCTCACAAATTCAAACAAGTTAAATCATATATTATACAAATGCATTCACCTAGATAAAATAAATTTATCGTTTTTTCCCTCACTTGGCACACACGTCGAAATTTATCATTTTTTCCCTCACTTGTTTTCCCTCATAAATTTGTTTTTCCCTCACTTGAATTCATCATTTTTTCCCTCACAAAACGTCGAAATTTATCGTCATTTTCCTCACTTGGCACACACGTCGAGGGCGAAAGTGGAGCCCTTGACGAGATGCAGCGTCCTGAGAGAGGGCAGTTCTTCGCTGATCTCGAGCACCGGCGACTCTTGCGTCACGCGCACCCTGCGCTTGTCAGGCTTGGGCGCCTCGTCCAGAAGGTAGGCGTCAAACGTCCCGTTGCCGCTCAGCCTCTGACCCTGCACATTAAAAGGTGAAATATAATAAATTGTTTAATCTAAGTTATATATTAGAATAGAATAGAAGTGTCGGCACTGAAGAAATAGGCCCATGGCCTGTTGCCGATTCTTGAATTTTTCGTGACTTGATTCACAAGGGATCCGGCCTTTGGAACCCGATCTTTCCATAACTGACGATTGATTGAGATAGCTGCTGGGCTTATTGCCTGGTCCGTAATTTGCTAGGCATTTTAAGACAGAACATATGCTCCTGCATAGCTTCGTCTAGTCTGTTCTAGCTTCGTCTAGTCTGTTCTTTATTAATTCAAGATTGCGTTTATTCATCATCATTCATGATCAATTTAATTCATTGTTGTCTTCAAACTAACTTATAACATCGATTATCTTCTTTAGTGAGAATTATGACGACAATGAATGAATGAAGAACAGCTCAGCCACTGACCCTGCGCACCAAACAAATCTTTATATTCAAATGATTATTATATTTATATGCAAGTGATTATTATTAATAGGAAAATGTACATTTCCGTAACTTTAAGATTTCCGTAAGAAAAAATAAACTGTATTCCCATCCAAAGGATATTTTTTAGTTTTCGTTTTTTAAAGTGAAAGGATAATGTTGAAAAATTGCTTCATATGTGTTTCCTTAGAAGACTTAGCTTGAAAAATTTTTTCAGCGCTATTAAAGTGTTTTGAAAGGCTCAACACTCTCGGCAACTTTTTGCTCCTGAGCATCCATGAGCCCATTCATCGTTTTCTATCAATATATGACTATTAGTTCGTGCAAAGATACTACATATTTACTTGCAATTTTTAGTTTTGGAAACAGTGGAACATTCATCATTAATAGTACATTGCGAAATCTAGATTTACATTTGCCACGCTAATCTGCTGATCAAATTCATTGCAAATGTTACCTATACCCTGACAAAACGGTCGTACACATTGCTGGTACAGAAGAGACAGGTATTGGTTGCATTACCTAAGATGGTGTGCACCAGTACGAGAAAATTCCAAGTTTTTAGTGCATTTTCTCATTTATGGAAAAAAGGCCCTATTGTGCTCGTCATGTCCGTCCGTCTGTCTGTCTGTTCGTCTGTCCGTGAATTCACGTTTTCGTCGACGAGCGAAAAATGCGCTCTCTGTCACTCACTGCAGTGAGTACCGGTACTGATTTAAATTTTTCTTACCACATGCGTTTCAAATTAAGAAGTCGGCGGATTGGCTGCCGACGACGCAAGCACCGATAACTGCATTACCTGAGGATAGTGTTCACCAGCACGAGAAAATTCCAAGTTATTTTACCACATGGGTTTCTAATTAATGGTTTCTAATTAATGGGCGGCGCGCTGCTTTAACTTGCCTGGCACCAGAAGGTAGAGGCCATGTAGTGCAGGTCTAAAGTATCGGAGGGAGACAGGGCGAGGTAGCGTGTTGGGTAGAGCGTGTAGCGCGCGTACAGAGGCAGCGTGATGAGCAGCGCTGGCACTAGGAACACGACCACGAAGAAAGCCACCACCCGCCATGCGGACGCCATCTGTAACAACACGCATATTCAAACTTCAAATCTTGTTCATCAATAAAAAGTGTAACAAACGAAAATAACGCTTGAGATTCGTAAATATTCTCAACCCGCCATGCTGACGCCATCTGTAACAACACGCATATTCAAATTTCACATCTAGTTCATCAAAAAAAAAAGTAAAAAAAAAAACTAAACGAAAATCACACTTTTGAGATTCGTAAATATTATCAACCCGCCATGCTGACGCCATCTGTAACAACACTCATATTCAAACTTCACATCTTTTTCATCAATAAAAAGTAAAAAAAAAAACGAAACGAAAATAACGCTTGAGATTCGTAAATATTCTCAACCCGTCACGCTGAGGCCATCTGTAACAACACGCATATTCAAACTTCGAATCTAGTTCATCAATAAAAAGTGTAACAAACGAAAATAACGCTTGAGATTCGTAAATATTCTCAACCCGCCATGCTGACGCCATCTGTAACAACACGCATATTCAAACTTCGAATCTAGTTCATCAATAAAAAGTGTAATAAACGAAAATAACGCTTGAGATTCGTAAATATTCTCAACCCGCCACGCGGACGCCATCTGTAACAACACGCAAATTCAAACTTCAAATCTAGTTCATCAATAAAAAGTGTAAACGAAAATAACGCTTTTGAGATTCGTAAATATTCTCAAGCCACATTTTTAAGTAAGAACCCTTTCCTGCAAACAATTATTTTATTTTTTTTTAAGAAAATAAAGTTTTTAAAGTTAATGAAGGACGTGATAAGTGATTGCATTACCTATTATTTAAATTAAATTATGACTAGATTTTTCGCCGTAATTAGAAAAGACTGGATATGAGATAGTTGTAGAGTCTAATTCGTGTTAGATATTTTGGTAGTCCAATATTTATTTGTGAGCTCTACATTTTTTAGTGCAACACGTTTTCGTAGCTCTACCACCAGTAGCTCTTTTTTCGAATCGAAATAAATTTTCACGATGGCAAAATGTAACATTGGAATCGACGATAAATAATTCGATGGTCAGTTTTTGGGGACCTTGAACATTTGAGCGAAATAAAAGGAAATAATTAGTGAATGTTTTGTATGCTTGACGAATGACTAATTATTATATCAAGATCTTTTGGAGTAAGATCGAGCAGAAGAGTTTAACTTGTTGTGAACACCCGGATTGCGAACTGAGATCGAGTAGATCCTGCATAGAAATTCAAGATTGAGCACCAGATCAAGAGGCAAATTATCTTAATAAATTGCAGGAGTCAACATTTATATCAAGAAATTTTTAGTATAAAGCTTGGTCATGATAGCATTATTTAATGACACAAGTTACAAAAGTTTTTAGAAATAAACACTTGAGAACAACTCGCACCTCCACCAGGCATGACAGAATCTATGATTCTGAATTTGTAGAGCTAATACAATATAATAACGAGTCAATAATCACGTTCGCCCCGTGGTTATTGAGGTTATGAAGACAGCGCTACGATTATTAATAAATTTACCATCATTTCTCCAGACGAAATTTATTTTATAAACTATTGAATATTAAAATATTTCCAAATTTCCAAGACACAACATCGCTTCTTCCCACAAACTTCTTACTGACGGGAAATCGTTTCATTGTAAACTTCTTACTAACGACACATCGCTTTTCCTTCAATTCTTCCCGTCAAATATATTCGAAAACATGGGTTTAGTAGGCAATATTTTAACATCTTGATGCTAATTTTGATACAATATTCATGAGACTTATGTACCTTCGCACCATTAAATGAAGGAGTGCTTTGCGAGAGCTGTTACGTTAATGGAAAATAGGACTAACATTGAAGGAGTTAGACAAATTGCAACACCAAAACAACTTATCAATTTAAGTTATGTCCCTAATACTGAGGGATTCTAAAATCTCAATTACACTGAGCTTTATAGAATCTCAATGATCCTTGGATATAAAGAGAGCCGTGGGATATGAAGTACCGCGAGGTCGGATCGAGAAATATGCATGTAGAACTGAAAACCTTTATTAAATGCACTTAAATGCAGAACTTTAAATGCACTTAAATGTAGAACTGAAAACCTTTATTAAATGAAACATCAACTCACAGACCCTGCTATCATTTCCGCACGCTTTGGTTACACTGAAATGTTACATATTACATAAATGGTCAACGAAAACTTTATAGCAATGCAATGCCAGCACAGGACGCGAGGCAAAGTCTAGCCGCGCGGGTCAAGGCAGCAATGGAGGGAGCGAGGCGACTGGTCGGGTGAGACCAGGCACTTTTTATCACTGCGAGCATCCGGCCAAACGTCGTTTATGAGAAAATAAATTATACGCAGAAAGAGAAATGAATAAATATTTTAGGGGGTGGCCGGCACGTAATGAATAAATATTTTAGGGGGTGACCGGCACGTTGAAGAACACTCACTGCGTATTGAAGGTTATGGTTCTGAGAGCAGCGAGGCGAAAAAAACTAAAAAGTGGCATTTTGGTGCTATCCTTAGTATCCTTAGTATTTGTTTGGGACATAGCAGTCCCAGGTCACGATGGATCGCCGCCTCTCATTTATGCTCTATACCGAGTGCACAATGTGCATTCTACGCAATGTCACCATACTGAGTGCACAAGATGTATTCTGTCAAATTTTTGCCATAATAAATGAACAACAAACATTCTGCAAGCTTCATACGGGCCTGGTGGAAGTCTAGTAGCAATTTCAAACTAACGTCAGTTTTGAAAAGATCCGGTCAATGAACCTGTGAAATTTTTTCGTGAACTAGTCACGAAAAATGAGAAAAATAGGCGACAGGCCACATTAGGCCATTTCTTCAGCGCCGACATCACTCTGATATCGGCGTGCAATATTCGCACCTAAAATTATTATTTTTTATTTATTTTTTTTCTTGTCAGACCATCAATCGAAGAAAAAAGCATTTTCTAACACAATAAATAAAAATGTTTCAAAAAAATTGCAAAAAAGGAATAAACGCACTTTTGACATGATCAACTATTTACAATTAATTATCGATTCCTTAGTTGAAAAATCTTTCAAAATTCAAATAATAGTATAATTCGAAGATGAAAACTTTCAAAATTTCTGCGATGACCATTGCAAATTTGCAACAAGTAAACAATGTAATAATATTTCAAAATTCAAATAATAGTAAAATTCGAAGATGAAAACTTTCAAAATTTCTGCGATGACCATTGCAAACTTTCAATAAGTAAACAACGTAATAACACCTCTTATAATAACACTGACAAACCCTACGGGAAGCTGGTACATCTAGAGGCAAAATGAAGTTCCACGCAAGCAACTGATCAACTCCGCCCCGCAACTCGGTTGTAATTTGCAGCAACAAAACATGAAGAGGCTAAACAAAGCGAGCCCCCTAGCACTGCACGACTCAGCTATAAAATTTTTAGACGTTCTGATTTTATTTTNTTACCTACGAACAACTCTAGCATTTTATGCTATCAGTAGAAAACTCAATGTTCAATCCCTTCATGGAAGGAATCGTTGAGCCGAGTCTCCGATGAATTATCACACAATACGTAAAATGTATGTCATCCCAAATGCATAATTTCTCATTAAATTTGCATAAAAATTATCAATTCAATCAATTTGTTCTCATACGACAAGAGTATTGTGAATTACGTTCAGATATCAACGACTGTTAACCCTTTCGTGGCTGACGGGACTGTGACGTCCCACTCAATGTTTTACTCCATAACTTGCATACAGCATACCATTCGAGGCATAGCTAACTACAGGGACACATGAGTAACACTCCTACGCCTATGTCAACTCAAAAGTAATTGACTGACGGGACTGTGACGTCCCGCCCAACGATTTACTCTATAACTTGCATGTAGCTCTAAATTCAAGGCATAGCTAACTACAGGGACATATTAGAAACACTCCTGCGCCTACATATGTCCAATCTAAAGGAATATTAATATATGTTCTTTTTGGGATATGTTATTATATAAGCTATTACACGCGTTTGCCAAAAGAAGTTTGTGATATTATTCAACTACTAACCAAAAAGTAATACGAAAATGTTTTTTTTATCAAAATCAGTGATGTCGCAAATTGTGTCACCTCAGTTGGAACCATATGCTACCGGGATTTTCTAGTCCCGATTATATAATTTTTACCATTAACATATATTTAATTATTTTTACGGAGATGCAATATTCGGTCCAAGTTCATGATGATTCTGTAGAAAAATACGAATAAAAAGTTGTAGAACACATTGCCGTTACGAAAGGGTTAAAGCCGGCTTTCCCGTAGTGTAGTACGCTAATCACATGTGCGCGAACACTTTGTTAATCATAAATGATTTATTAGTTATTCTTCACGAAAATATTCGAATGGCTGCTCGGTTTCTCCGACATTTACGACATTCGTTGCACGGAATAGGTTAACGTCCGGCACAACGAAACTTTAATGAAATTTCAGTTAGGTACCAAGTAATATTTTGCCAAATCTTTGTACGAAAATTACATCTTATTTCACTAGTCTTATATTACGTAAATTGCATCTTATTTGCAGGGATTGAGCCGCCGCTAGCTCTCGACTACATCGAAAACAGCGACGTCGGAAAATAATATGAATTAAACCAATAAAAACAATCTTCGAGTCCAAGGATTCATTTCATCTACTGGGATCGTTTCCACATTGAATGGAGAGTATTTATGAGTGTAGACAGCAGAGTATGAAACTCCCATACCAATTGCTACCAATGCCTAGCACCTTATCGAACTCGGTGGAAGTCTAGTAGCTACTTCAAACTATCGTCAGTCATGAAAAGATCCAGTAGCGGCCGCTACATGTAGCGCGCTACTGCCCACCTCTGGCTACTTCAAACTATCGCCAGTCATGAAAAGATCCGGTCAAATGACACGATTTTAGATCTTCTGTGAACAAGGCACGAAAAGAAAAAGAATCGGC